GATATATAAATTCCGTATGCAGGTGAAGAAGGTACATGTATATTGCTGTCATCACGTTTATCATATAGCTTGGTTGTTAGATTACAATTAATGTCTTTTTCAAATAAAATATCTAAATATGAAACAGATGTGTCAGACTCTGTGATATCTTTGATCTCAAGCTCACCTGAAAATATCGCATCGAAATAAGAATGGAGGTTATCATTGTTAAGGACAGATGATACAACCTGGATTGGTATATATGACCTATTTTTGTTTGATACAATAAAATTTCTAAAATATTAAGAAATTGTAAACCTTCTGTGATGTTCAAAATTCTATCTTTCTGCAGCCATCTTTTTTAATCTATACAAATATTTTTCACTTCATATTCCATTTTTGTGTAAATACTAAATATGAATGAGATTTTAAAAACTTATCGGTCAAACTTGTTCATTTTACTCGTTGAAACATTGTTAAGGTTGTTATTTTCAATTTTGATGACAAAAGTTTGTTCGTATCATCTGTCCTTAATTGACAATACGTCGTAGATATACTTAGAATGCAAATTTCGAGTCGAAGGCAAGAGCAAGTGTTTTCTTTTTTTCACATATGACTTTGGACAAATTCTTCTTCATATGAACATAAAAATTGGAGCTCCAATAGATTGTTGGAAGGTCTGGTCTCCAAAAACCAGAGAGATATTGTCAATCTGTAACTCAAGCATGTTTTCGATGTCAACTTCAGAGTACTTGTGTGTACAATCAGAATGTTGTTTTTATTTTGCCTTCATTTCTACATTTAGATATATCGATGATGTTTTATATTATTTATTAACTACAGACACTTCAATGTCAACTCGATATATCACAGGGAACTTGAAAGATACCAAAGGGTCTGAAATAACTGTATCAAATTAGAAACATTAATAGTACCCCTGAAAAATTTTCATTTTTCTATCGTTAACTTCCCTTGCTTGTGTATAGCAATATACTATTTTCTCCTGCATATGGAGTTTATTTTCCCAGTTGATTCGACACACAAGAACTCCTCTACGTATGAACAATTTTCTATAAAGAAAAAAAAATATTGCCAAACAAAATATTGTGATAACAAATATATGAAGAGTCCCGTTTAAAGTAATCATTCCACAGGTTCTATAGGCGATATAATTATCTTTTAAGCAAGTACAATCTATCATTAAGTGGAATGCTGATTGAAGTTTTTCATACCAATGGATTTGACCATTGTTCACAACCTGAATGTTCTCCTGATTTTTCGAGGTTTTTTTTCGTTCACGACAAGAAACACACTCCGAGTGTGACCGATGGACATGGATGCTTACTCATCCATGGCACCTGATCCTACCTCTGATGTTTTTACAGACCCGTCATTGCTTTCCCCGAGTTGTATTGTTTTAATGGATTTTTGAGCATAAATATTGTTCGTTTTCTCAGTCTTTCAATATTTGAGATAATACTTAGTAATATTAAACTTTTATTGATTTCTAGCATTGAAAATTCCTTTTGCAATCGTGTACAAGTATTAATAAATCGTATTTTAAATGTTCTCCTTGAAAAAAAAAATTAAAAGGGACATTGGACCATTGTAAAAATCTATCAAATCAAAAATTGGCAGAGGATAAGTTAGGAAAAAGTAAATGGTGCTCACTAAGTACGTAATTAAAGAGTAATTTCATCTTTGATTGGTTTTCTTATATATCTTTGTTTGTAAGGGTTTTTATGAAATTTTGGAATCTAATATAGATACAAACAAACACACATTGTCTTGTCCAGCAAAGCCAAAATTTGTTAACTACTACCTATTCAATAAACAGTGACCGGGTGAAGGGTGTTATCTCTTCCTTTGCACCTGATCTTACCTGTTGAATTTTAAGGGGGTCCGTGTTTTTGCATTGTGGGTGTGACTAATTTACAGGGGATGATTACTTCTCCTAGGAACCTATAATCCAACCTCTGGAGTTTCCATGGGTCCGGGTTTTTATCACTTTAGAGATTGTATTGTTTAATTTTTTTGAGATGGATCAATTTTTATTTAATGCCCTTTTGATTGAGTTCTATTGTGTTGTAGTTTTTTAGATCCATCACCATTCGTAACGTTCACTTTTTATCCCTTCTTTTGATTTATTGTATTAAAGTGGTTCAATGGGTTTTGTTAAGAGATTGAGATTTTTAAAGAAATATATATCAATCAACTTTGAAGAATTGTCTTCATAAAACACTTCTGTAAGCCAATGGCCAAACATGAAAAGCAAAACACAAGAATGGAACAGAAAAATTGAGATCGATGTACGACTTTTAAACATGTAAAATAAAGTCATATAGATAAATTATGGCCGAACAAGCTCAACGACAACTGGAACAATACAAATCAGTAAAACATCAGATATGGGGTTAGGTGCCATGGAGAAATAATTATTCCCTGTCGACTGGTCAACAAAATGATCACTGATCAACGTCATAATTGTTTTAAGTAACATTAATCGTAAACAGGACAATTACACTGACTCCTAAAGATTAGGTGGCAGGGAAAAGTACATTCAGGCAATCACTTTCGAGCGAACACTCCCCAGACACTGTATAACAAAAGAAAGTGGAGTAATCCGTATTTAAAATTAGTTTTAAAAATATCTAAGAATTACTTTAAAACGTCAGTCAAAAGGCGACTTAAATATATTTTTTTCGATGGTTGAATTTGAAAACAAAGGCATTTTACGCCTAAGGTTACAAAAGTTGAGAAAGTTAATCTGAAAGAGATTGCAGACATTGCTGTAAAATCAACTTACAATGAAACGAGAGTAGCTAGTCTCCATTTTGAATTTTTTTTAATATCATATTATTCTTTATCATACCGAAGCAGTCGAAACAAAGTACATGTGTAGAGGAAAATACAAGTTATCTCATTTATCTCAAAATATATAGTTATTAATGTTTCATAAACGTATATAGCCAGCAAACATTCAAACTTGAAACAAATTTGGGACTACTTGTATATACCGGAATACATCGAATAATAAATGAATGATAATAACTATAGTCATTTGATAATATTTCGGCAATATATACTGAAGGCCATGGGAATAGTTTTATTCTACTGTAGAATTGTTTAAATAGAGTTTGCTTCATGTTACTTTAGAAAGATGTTTGTTTGTAAAGGAACACAAATTGATCGGAATTCTAGCAGATTTTTGGAAGATTTGGTCTCCAAAAATTAATTGTTGTTAATGAGGAACTTCGGTATCTTTTCAATGCCAGCTTCAGAATTAACAAAGCTATTTTGTAGATGACCAATCTCAAGACAAGAAAATTTATAGGTTCCTTTTTTATTGAAGAAGTTGCTATAATGTCAAAAACCATTGCACTTAATATTTTTATGTGAACTTTTTATACAAAATGTTAAAAACTATTAATTAAAGAGAATTTTGTTATTTCATTTTTTTTTTCTATAAGTTCTTTGAACTGTTAGAATTGTTTAAATTTGATTATCACCAGCTTTTGCATATGCAGTACCAATGTATGCAAAGGATTGTTATACGTTTAGATGCAATGTCGGGTGCAAGAAGTGCATTACATTTATTAATTATTTGAGGTGATTTACTTGGCGTCACCCACGATTTGTGGATTAAATTTTTTTTTCGGAAACATTAATCTAGAAAAAAATGACTTTAGGAGAGTTTAAAAGGAACAGAACCTCTGTGACGCACGCGCCAAACGACGTAATGGTGTTTACCATTTGACAATGAAAGGCGCGTATAACTGTTCACTCATGTATAAAAATACAATGATCAAGTCTTTTTGTATTTAACTGCAATTAATTAATTCACATTTTGAAAAAGGGCAAGTTTCAAAACGTATTTTTTTTTAATTAAATTTGTTTCTGTACAATTAATTTACATTTATAAACATAATACATGTACGGCACCCATCCATTGTCTGGCCTAAATGATTTAGTGTGCAGCATATATTTGCAGCAATCAAAAATACATTAGCCTAGGAATTTTAGTGTTAATTAGTGTGCACAGTTTTTGCAAAAAATGCATGGTGTCTTTTATACATTACCAAATTATATCCTTAAATTTAACATGTCAGGTGTAAATTATCAATATGATGAAAGTAAAACATAATTACTTTCTTTAATTCATTGTAAGAAAGTAAAACAAACAAGATATGGTGTACAAACAGAAACATTGGAATTATATAAATATAATAAAAAATATTAGTTATTTGTGTAAAAAAGAGGCATTGTAATTCGTCTCAAACATAATATAAAAGTATTATTCGTATATTTTCCTTGAATCCAGTAGCTTAACTTAAATTAAATACCAAACAAAAAAGAAAGAAAAAAAAAAGAATCAAGAAGCTTCTTTTTTGTCTAACACAATTTTTATTAACAGTGGTTTACCAGTAACCATATCTTTAACTATATATAATAAAATCAACAGCGTTTTGCAGGTATGGAAATTATGAATTGTACCATTACAAAGTGGTACCAATTGCAATTAGCAATGACCTGACGCCTACAGAAATAAGGAAAACGCTAGTTCTATTAAATTCCAAGTTAACTTTCATGGGAAAAATCTATCGTTTCTGTTAAACCTTGTATTGAAAAAAATCAGTTAAGTTTGAAAAATATTTAATTTGCAATTTATTTTGCTGATGGTTTCAAAAATGAATTCCAACTGCATTTTTACAGTGAATCAGATGTACGCCATAAATTAATTATCATAATTTATGCACATTGCTGTTATAAGCCAAGTTCCTGTGACAGATAATTTGAAATATTTTTCAAGTCTTTTTTTGTGAAAACATATAAAATATAGAAACTGCGTAGGACAATTAGCCCCAAAAATTAGCTATTGAAGAGAATTACCAGCAATAATAAAAAATTAATTTATAATATTTTTCTCTATCTTTGAGAAATCCCTGCCCAGTGATGTAAGTAAGGATAGCCTAGGGCACCATTCCATGAATAATTATTATTGCTAGAACAATTATACGTCGGGCGTATTGCGACCAACAAATATAGAGAGTTATACGGAAGCCACGGGCGCGCTGTGGTTTATTCTTTCTGTATAAAAAAATCAACCAATTCAATCGGATCGACAGTTGTTAATTTCAGTCACGGAGTTTAAGCAAATAGGTAAGTACTTTCTTATTCATCACAATTGAATAAAATTAAACATTTAATGGAGAAAATTAATTAAACTTTACAAAATTACTCTTACCTAACAGAGTAAATTTAAATTACATAAATATTAGACATAGTTTCAAGAATTATTTGACTAAAAATGTTTAAGATCAAAATAAATTTCGACAATTATTTCATTTTAAAATACAGTTTTCGTGGTACTGTTTACAATTGCAAGATTCTCTTTGTATTTTTTTTTTGTACTATTATAGAATAAGTGGGCTGCACTATAAACAACCTTTAACGTGTTGTCTGACATTTATCATTGACAACTGACATGACCATCTCACTAAATCTCCCTCGATCCAAAAATGCATATTTTTTTTCTCTTGGTATATAAGAAATATGTATTCAGAGTTGAGTCATACTGGTATTCAATTCTTCGATAATTTTTGTACGCTTTTCAGTGGTGTTACGTTAATGAATAATCAAACTAAATAGTCATAATTATGACGTCCATGCAGCAATGCTTCTTGTCTGCGAACACATAAGTAATTATACAGTCAGAAGAAATATAGGTAATAAATTTCCGTCTGAATTCATTACCTAAAGTAGAAAAGAAACTTCGTTGTCTGCACTGGCCATATATCATTTGTGACTTACACTTAACTTCCAACTTTTTCTCTTTTCTTTAGATGATGAAGATGTACTCAGGTTTGCAGTGTTTAATTGGTTTAAGTCTGGCGTTAATTGTGAAGTCTCAGACCTCCGACCTAAACACCATAGATCCACAAGGTAGGACCAGATTCCATTCTATGTATGATTTTTCTGCAACATGCTTCTTCTGATTCGACCTTTGTCGTTGTGTTAGGATAGCTTTTTCTTACCTTTATATCGGGAGACAACTTATCTTTATAGGGTTACTCATTACTGTTCTCTGGGGGTTTGCAATCGTGCTTTAAAATTGGCGAAGAAAAAAAAATTGCTGGAGTGGATTTTACGGGTCTCCATTTAAACAAAATTAGCACTCGTCAAAATGGCTCAAATTCCTAGTTTTCTACGCAAACCAACTCAAGAAAATTTAATTACAAAAATGACAAATATTCACCTTCATTTTCAATGTGATTTAGAGTTTATCAACTTAGTGAGTTATTTGAGGCTCCAGAAAGAAACAAAAATGGCATTTTGAAATGAGCTACACCAAATTGTTTCAGTTTTTCATGTTCTTTCTGTGTTAATATATCTGCCTTTTATATTGCAAATTCCAGTCCCAGATTCAATTCTGCAAAAATGCCTCCTTTTTACATTACAATATTAAACAGATGGTTAGAATTGTTTGTAATACTGCAATGCAATTGCAAAAACCTCTTCTTTGAAGGAGAATATTTTTTTGTATTTTTCCTGACAGCCCTATGTAGTCCCTGTAAAAATCGAGGATCGTGTGACGTGGCCGTTGTGGGTGAGTGCACGCAGTACTATAGCTGTCGGATGGTGGACAATAACTGGTACTTTGTGAAAATGAATTGTGCTCACGGAACTCATTTCTCGGAAGAATCAGGGGGATGTTTAAAACCAGAGGACGCTAATTGCCCATATGGTAATTAATCTTTTTATTCAGTTTTAATTAATCAGCGGTGAAATATATGATTATTTTCTATTTTTGCATCTGTTTTGAAGCATCAAAATGCAAAACATTCATTTTATGTTAGAATATATACAATTTATCGTTGAAATATGTTAATCACTGTGAAACCAAGATTGTATTTCTTTGTCATCATGTTTTTTTTTTTTTGTTTACATGACATCATTATATTTGCTAGAACAATGCAGAATGTGCTTTATACAAAAAACAAATAATTTATCTATGTACGTATAGACTTTAAACAAGTAAAATAAGAAAAGTCTCAGGGCAGCACCTTGCTTTACGGGGGTCGTACGAGTAAAACTATTTTAATGATAAAACGCTTAATCTCGCTGATATTTTTCAATGCTCAAAAACAGTGAATAAACAATAATATGTAATTTTTTGATAGATCCCTGTGCTAATAAGACCAGCGGTTTCTACAAGCTGGAGGGTTTCTGCCGTTCATACTGGGAGTGTAAAAGCAGGAATTTCGGGGGCATTTCTGAGGCCCATTGTTGTCCCCTCAATCAAACCTTCAGTCAGGAAGGGAAATGCGTAGATGACCCAACTTGTGACAGTTTTGAAGAATGCACCACTCTCCCAGGCGAGGGCCTTCTTAATGGTATGTTTAAGGTCAAATCCGATTCGAATGCCTAAACCAGGGACCTATATACTTGTATGTACTATGTAGGTCCCTGCTGAAACGTTAAGTTAAATAGTTTCATGAAATGGAATTTCTATGGAACTGACTTAGACACGTAAAATTTATGGTCATCAAAATATTTCTGAAAAGAAATCAGAAAAAAAAGTATTCGCATTTATCAAATAAGAATTTGTGACCTTTTTCACACATTTGACATTTTCATATTTATAGAAGTGGTCTGCCCTGAGGGAAAGTATGGAGCAGGTTGTAGATATACCTGTTCAGAGCACTGTATTGGAACTTGTGATTCTTTCAATGGAGAATGCTCATTGTGTGCCAAAGGATGGATGGGCTCGAAATGCATGGAAGGTAAATAGATTATTATGATCCCTTTTCCGAGTTCTGTCTTTTAAAATGTAATACAGTGAAACCTGTATAATCAGACATCCTCTAGAAGACAAAGTTTGTGTCGGGATAATCAGGTGTCTGATTACAGAGTAAAAAAACATGGAAAACAGTAAAACTGAAATGAAATAAAAGGTTGGAATTCACAGTGAAACGGATAAGTGTCGGATTATACAAGATTAACTTTTCATATTCTTTCCACACACTTTTTTTTTATTCAGAGTATGATATATGTCTTGCAGACTTCTTAGGTGAATTTTGATAAGAGCGCACGCTGGCAGTGTTAAAACATGGTATATTTCCTTTTCAGAGTGCCGTTACAAGAGTGTTGTAGATAATATTTACCTCTATATGGAAGATGTCGGTAACGGAAATGAGATCAAGAGAGCTTGTGGATTAGGAACAATGTTTAACCAAGACAAGTGTATCTGTGATAAAGATCCAAACTACGTCATCAACAAAGGTGATTACGTCACTTACAGTGTCAAAATATATCACCTCACCCCCCAAATCCAATAACAAAAGACATTTCTTAATCAGGTCCTTTGTTTCTCTTATCCGTTAAGAATTCTATACATGTAATACCATGGAAAATATCTTATCTAACTCTTTCTTTTCTTTAAAGAATGCAAACCAGATGTGGAAATCGCTTTTGAATCCGGAAATACGATCAAGAATACCATCGACTGGAAGTGGATCGGGGGTCAGTTCCGGTCCATTCCGGAAACCGTACCTCTGGGAGGCAACGTTTACAAAGTGGGCAGATTTGATGGCACAAAAGCCAACCTGTACATTCCCTTCTACAACAGAAACACAGAAATGAGGAAACAGTTTGCCACCGAAATCCTCTTTAACCCGGATAATGGCAAGGGCGAAAAAGAACAAATTCTGCTCTCTAATTGTCAAAATGCTAATAAGCGGGCCCTTGCACCATTTGAAATTAAACTTTTAAAAGACACTCAGGATATTCAGATTAATCTAGAAGGTGTTCCAACCGACGCCAATAATGCAGTGCCCGCTTCTTACTCCATCACAATGAAATACAAGGTAACGTATTTAAAATACCCTTCTTGTGTTTTGCGTCTTAAGCTGCTACAGTGAAACCTTTATAATCTAACATGCACAGAGGCAAAGTTTGCTTCGGAATAGACAAGGTTATGGATTACATAGTTTACATGGGTGTCGGATTAGACAGGTTTCACTGTATTTATGTTAAAGAAGTATATTTCAAAGGTGAAAGAAAGCATTTACGTGTGTGTAGTAGAAAAGAATGATTTTTCTCATTTCATCAATCAAATCAATTAATATCTATAAAAAATTTACTTTAAAGCAAAAAAATGAATAAAATGCCAGTCGCTAGATTTCACAGAGTTAATCATCAAAGAAACTCGAAAACAAATGATACGCATATATCACGAAGTTAAATAATGCAAATGATTAATTGAATGCACCGATGAATAATAGGTAATATTGCTCAGGGTATAGAAATGAACTTATTGCGATATGTATATTTTTTTGTTTTAGCCTGATGACTGGAATAAACTTGAGGTTGTGTTTAACGGAGCGAAGAGTGCCCTGACGGCCCGGAATATGGATTTGTCAGGCGGCGTCATCAGTGAAGGAAGCACAGCTGTCCAAAGTAAGCCACGCCCAACAGAATTAGCATTATACACTAATCAATGATAAAGCCTCTAGAACAAACGTAGAAATGTAGTGCTAGAAAAATAATTCTTTTCATAGCAGTGTAGAAATGTTGAATATCTTACACCTTAGTTGATATGAATTGCACGGTTACACATATATAAATTAAAGACCTGCACACATACATGACTTTTTGGAAATATAGTAATTAAAGACTGAGGTGAAGTACATGGTAAATATATCTCTGTACTGTTTTTGAAAGAGAATGTCAAATAATTTTTAAAAATCTATTTATAGATTTCCTTGAAAACGGCCTTGACCTGAGGATAGGATGGTGCCCAGAAAAAGGATATTTCGTAGGAAAGATGGCAATGGTAAATTTTTTACAAAATTTAATTAAATTTTTTCACATATGATCATGTGAGATATGATCTTCAATTAATTCAGCTGTTTTATGTATTATGTTGTCAATTTTTAGGTTAGGACGTATCTTTGTGAGCCTCAGTTTGAACTCGATGCACAGCCTGCAGCAGACGTAACTGGTATTATTGACAATGCACCGGCTGATGTTGCTGCGGCCGATGTTGCAGCAGCAGATGTTGCGGTGACTGATCCTGCACCAGCCGTTTAATCCAAAAATCCTGGGATATAGATCTAGAAACAATTCTTCGCACTTTTTCATACAACATCTCACCAAGTCCTTTGCATGATAAAATATTTCATTTTATCCAATTTGTACATATTTTGTTTTGCATAATTTCATTTCGTTTGTTCATAAATATGTATGTTTTATTTATTTACAAGATGTTCAGAATATGTACGTGTCAGTTAACTGAGCATCCCCCCCCCCCAGGCATTAATTAATGTTACTGGTAGTAAACATCCTGGCGAAATCCTCATTTTCCCCCATTGTTACGTTTATTTTTTTATAGAAAAAAAAACACTGATTAATAAAAAAGATTAATTGTATTTTTGTTGTTTCTTCCATGTTTACAATGTTTTAAGTTTATGAAAGAGATAAAACGGCCAAACCCAGAAATAAAGATCTATGTAAAATGATATCTGTCAGAATAAGACATTGCCATAAAAAAAATGTTTAAAAATATTTTATGTCCGTTTTTCATTGATTTCATTAATTTTTTCAGGTCGATATACGATTTGAACAAAATTGCTACATAAGTCGGTCAAGACCTAGAGATGAGACTTTCCATACCTATTTTACATTGTTTAATATAAATCTACTGTACTGTATAAAATTCTGCTAAAATTAAATATAAAATAACTTCAACCTTCTTCACTCGGTCTAAAATTAAGTTAAACAACTTTACAAGAGCTATGTACATCAGTTAAACAGCATGTGTACTGAAAACCACACGAAAACCACACGTTCTCCGAGATGGGCATAAGACAGAATGATGAATGATAAATGGGTTATAATGTAAACAAGTAATTAATTAAAATGTTAACCTTATTCGTGAAAATATACACCGCTAGAAGAAATGCAGTTAATATCTTTTCTTGTGCAGCACTTTTCAACAATTTGAATAAAACTTGCACAGAAAAGCTTTCTCATTGAATTTCAGCATATACCTAAATGTCATTATGAATAAAAAAAATTCCCTTAGAGTCTTCATCATTTCACCTTCTGATCCTTTTGTATAGTTTGATAAAAATATCTTTAATAGTTTCTTTAAAACTGAGCTACAACGGTAGGAAAAGTGAGGACAAGGTCAATTTAAGTCAAAAAAATCAGAAGAAATTACAATTTTCCCCGATACGTGTCATATGAAAACAAATGTTTTTTGACGCACAATTGTTATATTTTTACAACAATGCTCTACATTTTTTTTTTAATTTAGTCAAACCATTTTACATATTCTTACACTCTCTAAGAACTGTCACAAAGAAACGAACGACAACCCTGCTACGGAGATTCTAAAAAGAATTCATCAAAGTATTTATAAATAATGTATTTATCTTAATAAATTTTATGACTGTTATATACCAACATATATATTAATATATATAATTTTTTTTATAAAATATTAAAATAATTATTATGTAACACTGCAAAACAACGTTTATCAACGTTTATTTGTCTGATTGAGATATTCAGTAGTTATCTCTCTTTGCTTTTCCATTTATGAACCACCCCGCCACCCTATATCATTTGAAACGGTATTTTTGTTTCAGTATATTTCCTCTGTTTATACTTAAAAATATATATCAAATTTCAATATACATTTGATGGCGCAATCATGAAATGAGTATCAGGAAGAAATCCACTTATGGGAGGAAAATGATCGACAAGCACAAATCCCTGCGGTGTCCTTTCGAGGGTACTCAAGGAAAAACATTCAGATGTTAATTTTTTGAAAACGATAACAATGGCTACATTGGAAAAAGGAAATCATTTCTGCAAAACGTGTTGAATATTAAAATGCAAATCTATAGATAATTTTACAAAATCGCCGAAAACAAAGCAACATATAAGTACTAGTAGTCATAATCGTGTTGTTAGGTTAAGAAACATCTATATATATCTAAATAAGGCTTAATTTAGATCACTGGATTGTTCAGGAAACTACTGTATGTTCAATTGCAGCTGCAAAAAACAATTAAAGTGGCCTCCGTATGAACTGAATTAATGACACTTATTATACAAAAATGAAATCATGGCTATAAGAATTCAGTTCAGAAATAGACGCCTTATAGACCACGCCTAATGTTTTCATTTAGCTTGGTTCTAAAATGCATACATTAACATAATATAGTAATAAACCTTTTATTTCCCTGAATTATTTGTTATCTTACATTCAAAATAGACTGGACATTAATTTCCATATAGTTATCTTTTATCACGACCAGATTTAACAACTACATGTACATGTATGTGCTGAATCGCAGTATTAATCATGTTATAGAAAGAACTTGAAAGTCTCCTGCTTTAAACAGAATGTTTTAAAAATAGCAAACAAACATTTCCAGCATATACATGTATTTCAATAGTAACTGTATACAAGTACGCAAAGGACTGGAGGATCATCTACACTCTCAATCATCCATCTACATGTATCTTGCAGGAAATTATAAACTTTCTTTGTATTTGCAAATTTTATCTACATTCAAGTTTCTTCCCTGCCTATTACTTGTCTAATCATTGCATGGAATGGAAACATTGATTAACAATTTTGCAACATCCATGTCATTTCTATGGTTAGCCATTTAAAATTTGACCTGTGCTGTGTGCCCCCCCCCCCCAAAAAAAAACCCACATACATACATGAATTGCTTGTTAGTTTATTCTTACCAGCCTTATCTTGCACAAATACTGTAATTCAATGAACCAGTGGTTCAGGATAAATATAATGTATATCATAATTACAAAAGATCACAACTACTTCATAGTTTCTGATTTATCTGAAATTGAGGTGCATATATATTTTCTATAAAAATATCAAATCATTATTGTGTCACCATACAATAGCCTTAAACACCCAAAAATATCCTTCATTTAATACAGAAATGTACACTGACAACACTTTGTAACAAAACTTTGTGAAAAGCCTCAATATTACTTTGATATGTCAGATATTTTTATAAATGAATTTTCTTGGCTATTTAAATAAAAAATAATCAGATATTGGTTGCAGCTACCTTTTTATGAACATTGTGTCTAAATCTTAATTGATATTAAAAAAACTATGCTTCAAATGGACAGTGTAAAGATTCAAACATTGATTTAGATAAAATTATCGCAAACCAGAGACATGTAAAGTTGTTATAAAGAAGGTATGTACAACTTTACAACACTCTTTATTCTGCCATGAAAAACTGTACATTAAGTTTATTGTAAACTATGTATTTTAGGAATTATTAACTGGAGTATGGTAGGACTTTACAATTAGTCAGTCTGAACAGAGACTTGCAATCTTCATTCAACTAAATGGTCCACTTTATCATGATTCTGAGAGACTTTTTATTGTCTGTCTCCACTATATGGAAAACATTAACAATGTGATCTATCTCTGATCCATATTGTGATTTTCTTTTCCTCAATATGGATACTAACAAAGTTAGATAATCCTTGGTTTTACAGAGCACAAGATATGAATTAAACACTCTATAAGAATGATGTCAGTGTAACAATTAAATTCTGACTCACTCTTTGAAGACAGATCTTGTCATATAAAAGTGTAATTTTTTATATTAATCAATGTGTACATCACTTGTGGCTTGTCTTAACCCAGTTTTGAAGCAATGAGGGCTAATTAGTCCAAATTTAGCTGTTGCAATGGAGTTTGTAAAACATGATTCAGAGGGATTTACTGACAGCTAAACAGGACAGCTATAGTTTTAAGACAGAATTATCACAGTTCACTTTGAAGTCTGACCACAATATACAATTATACATGGGAATGAAACTTCAGTTATATAATAATTTATAATTTAAAGTTATGCAGAACAATACATCTATAGAAATGCAAAGTACATACAAAAATCATTAACCCCTTCCCCCTACCCTTTGGATTTCTAGAACTGAGACAATATTTAGTTCCATGAAGTGGGAAGTGAACTGGAGAGAAACATAATGGCCGAGGCATTATCACTGAGGACTTGTTGTAATTTCATGTCATTCGTCTGATCGTAATTCTCCTCCATAGAGGGAGCTATGATAATATCTGTTGCCTGCACCAGTTCCGCTTGATTTATGCTTTGAGCTGAAACATCTGCTAAAAAGTTCTGAGTGACCAACATATTGGATGAGGCTGGAATCACTTTCAAATCATTCTCGTGTGTTCGTTCGTGCCTTTTCAGGGCGAAGTTTGTATTGAAGCGTTTCTCACATAACGTACAGGGGTAGGACCTGGGATTTTGGTGTATGTTCTTGACGTGCTTCAGCTGACAGGATTTGGTTTTGAACGAAGCCCCGCAAATGTCACACAGATACTGTCTACTGTTGGAGTGCATGGCCATGTGTTCCGCTAGATGACACTAAAACAAACAAATGTCTAGTTAGAAATAACCTCAACTGAACTTATGGGTCAGAGGAGACTTTATAGTTTATACTCCTCGGTTTCTTACACCAAATGTAACATTTTAAGATAAAAACAGCACCATTATTTTCTGCTTTATTATGTTTATCATCAATCAAGAACCATCCAAATTTCACAACTCTTGATATCTCAACTTTTTTTACGTTGTTTCACAAATCAAAGTATCCAGAATCACATACATGTACTTTTTTTAAACTCATAACTTCTGATATAGAAATAACTAGTCACATCCATATATTATTTATCAGTCCTTACCTTAGACCTAAACCCTTCATTACAGATCTGGTAGACAGAGTTGAGTTTGGGTATGCATGTAAAGTAGTAAATTACCAGCCCTTACCTTTGACCTAATATAACAGATCTGGCAGACAAGCCCTTACCTTTGACCTAATATAACAGATCTGGCAGAAAAGCCCTTACCTTTGACCTAATATAACAGATCTGGCAGACAAGCCCTTACCTTTGACCTAATATAACAGATCTGGCAGAAAAGCCCTTACCTTTGACCTAAATCCTTTATTACAGATCTGGCAGACAAAGTTGAGTTTGCGCTGCACCTTCTCTAAGTGGACCTGTTTGTGCTGGCTGAGTGTGTCGCTCCTCTTGAAGGCCATTCCACATGTGTCACACAAGTGTGGCCTGTAGCTGGAGTGGTTCATCTTGTGTCTATTAAAGTGCTCCTTCCTCTTGGTTTTATAATCGCACTGATCACACTGGAAAGTGAATTCTTCAGCACTGGCACCAGGGTTATGCAGTTTCAGATGTTGACTGTATTTAGAAAGTGTGGATATTGTCTCCCCGCAATCAGCACACGTGTACATACATTCAGTGTTTTTCTGTTTTTTGTAATGTCGTTTCTTGTTGCTATGCTTGAAATTAACATGACGGCTTAGAAGTGCTTCCGAGTCGGTTACATAAGGACATTGTTTACATTTAACCAAGTCAATGCTATGACTAATTTCGTGTTTTCGTAAGGTGCTTTGACGAATTGTTTTAAAACTGCACAGCTTACAAGCAAACAAGTCACTGATTTTATCATGCAGCTTTAAGTGTCGACGAAAGTGACTTGCACGCTTTGACTTGAAGGAACAATTTTGACAGAAGAATTTGAACTGGGCCTCTGCTTCATATTGTTTCTTTGTTTTGAAGACTCGTTTTGTCTGTGAACCACCAGTATATCTGGATGGGTCTTGATCTGCTAGGGAAAAACCAAATTTCATGTTAAATACACTTTATGCATGCACATGTATAAGTTAAGATGTACCCATTAAATACTGTAAAAACAGAAATAGTTGTTGGGGATTAGATTTCCTTTATTTCGTTGTTAACAATAATTAACGAAATGAAATCCCACATAAAATTTTTATATGACTTAACTATATATATTGAATAGGGTGACTTCTAAAACAAAAAAAATTAAATGCCCACAAAAGTGTTTTAGATGGCAAAACAAAATTTTATCCCCACAAAAATCTGTGCTTCTACCGTTTGTAGAATAATGCTTTAACAGTTTGCAAGGTATATTAAACAAGAAAATCAATAAGATATCTATTGCATAATAAATCACCTATTTGTGCTGAACCTGTTGAACTTTTGACCCATTCTGAGGTCGGATCCAGTCTAGACTGATGTTCACAGTTAACAAGATAAACATTGTTTCCTTTTTCTTCTGAAGCTGCAAGTGTCTGTATATCATCTCCATAATTTGAAACATTACCCTGAAATTAATCATCAAAAATAAACAATATTTCCTTAAAAACAAATTTTACAGCAAGTCCTGCTTAAAATTTAAGAATATGGTCAAAGAATATTCATGCACCATTCAACATATTTAACTTGTTACATTCCTTCACTCGTGCTAATTTTAAAATACATGCCAAGGGAGGTAAATGCTTGTTAATTTCTTATATATATGTAGAAATAATAGTTATTTTTATAAATAGAGTAGCCATGATAAAATTCTAATAAAAATCAAAATTATTTCTCTGAAGTCAAATGATGGAATGGAGCAAGTATTTACTATGTATACAGTACCTGTGTGTCATTGAGTAATGGTGACTTTGATTCTGTCCGAGTGGTGTCCGGTGTTGACATACTCTGACTACTCTCCAGTAGGGAACTCGGTGAGGGCTGGTTTTCTTCCTGAAAACTCGTCTAATTAAAATACATTAATTTCTTATCAATTTAAGATTTTGACATTAGTTTGAAGTCAAAAGTTCTACAAAGTGCTCAACAAATATTTAATTCTGGCAAAAATTTAGAAAAGGTTTTTTTTTCTAGTAACTTTTCCTTACGCTGTCTGATCACATGCTTCAAGTATGTAATCAGAAAATCTTTGATGATTAGACACAGTATTCTAATGCAATTGTTTTGGCTAATGCACTGTCGTTTGAAGCAGTAAAACGAGCATTAACGAGAGTGAAAGCTTTTCCTTGTGATGTCATAATAGAGCGACGCAAAAACAAGATGCTCCATGACGTATTTCATGTCACAAGATTCAACAAAATAAGATGTAAACAATAAACAGAATGCATAGATTGCATTTAGAATGGGAATAACTATCTTCTATTTTGGTATTTGCGACCGTTAATGCTAATTTAACGGATGCAAACATACGTTTTACAGTCTCCGCTTACGCGACGCCGGTAAAACTCAGTTTGCGACCGTTAAATCAGCATTAACAGTCGCAAATGCCAAATTAGAGGATAGTTATTCCCTAAATTTACAGTTTAGTCGACATATAGTACAGAACACTTCAGTATTAAATTGTAAATATAAATGCATGATTTTATGTGTGAATCTTTTTCTTTTACCTTTCTCCTCCTTTTGCGATTCTGAGATTTCTCCTCAGATGGATCATACACGGGATCATTGTCTGGTTCCAGATATGCCTGAATTCGTTTTGTCTGTCGAATTCTACGTCCAGACACACTTGAATACTGGGGATTGTTTGTTTCTGATGGTATAGTCTCAGTCTGTATCGACTGATCAACCATAAACAGACTTCCAAAATAATTGTCTATCAGAGGTTTTATCACATTAAAAAAATCAATTAGGCCTTCCAGTTTTTCTGTGAAAATTTTGGCAAATTTCTCAAATTGTTCTTGTCCGGATCCTACTGAATGAGCACTTTGACAAACTTCCATCATTTCTAAAAGTGCTGAATGTTGTCTTGAAAGCTGTTCCAAAAACATGGAGTACATCTGAAATTGAAATTCAGGTTTAGACTTATTACTGTAATATATAGTTACTTAAAAAAGTTGGCTTCATATTGTGGTGCGTTAATTCATGAATACCCGCATATACTGTAAACGTATTACATTTAGCGGTGTATTCTATTTAGCGATTTTGGCGGAAAGCAGAGTCCGCTAATTCAAGTACATCGCTAAATGTCTTGTATATTAACTTTGATAGCTAGCAAATTCAGACAGCGCTAAATCAAATCTATGCTAACTTGTTGAAAATTGAATTTTCGCTAAATATCGTACACGCCAAATATAATACATTTACAGTAAATCATTTGTAAATATACATACAAGTACAATATATGGCATGTTAGCGTCTACTGCTAATTCATGAATATACTATCAACTAAATACCCAGTTATTCCGCTAAATTTTAATGCCAATTTATGTAAACATACAGTATTTCCAAAACATATTTAAAACAGCAATTGCCTTGTAAGTATTGACTTACTTCAAATGCACCAAACAATTTTTCATGTCTGATATACTTGTAACATACCTGTTGTTTCCTCTGTTTGTCCTTGTCTAATGACCAATCCTCCGACTCTGAAATACTATCAGCAGCAGAAACATTCACGTCAATGTTTTCTGCCTGTGGGTCTAATTTCGTAGTTTTATTTTCCTTTGCCAATTTGATATTTGAAGGCAGCAAGCTTACAAACTTGGGATTGCTTTGTTTTTCAGTCAGACCTAGCTTCTGATGACTAGTAGGGAATTCTATCGTGTCTTTATTGGATTCCGAGTTCAAGGTGGCTATGTCTTCTGGGATCACCAGCTGAATATTACTACTCTTCACTGATTCAGGCCAAGAAAGCTGCACATTCTGTATAACATTTCGACTTTCCTTCACAGCTGTGGTCTTTTTATCACTCTCCCCTTTTACTTCTTGGTTTGTTTCTGTTCCAGCATTTGAATCTGTCGACAAACTCTGAACACAATTTACACTTGAGGGATAGATTTCTATCTGCTCAGATCCTTGTGGAATCCCCATAACATTAAATACATTCTGGATGGGGGTGAAAGAATAATTCTGATCTGAGTCTATCATCGGACATCCTTCTGCTCCTGGCGCAGACACATTAGAATCCAAGGCAACTGACTGAACCAGATTTAACTGGTTTTCTTCTCCAGTCTGGGGAGCCATTAAGGTTCCCATGATGGAGATACCACCCAGTGTACCACAACTTCCCCCCACCATAGAACTAAGCTGTAATGGCTGACTGTTGATAATGGACAGCTGACTAATGTCTATTGACTGTCCGTCTATAGTTCTTAGCTGACTGAAAGGAATACTAAATGAGGTACTCTGGTTAGAGCTTGACACCACTATAACTTGTGGTTCGGACCTAGAAGGAGTTTCCCCATTTTCCAACATCTGGGGTTGGCTAGGGTCTGTATTATGTGTGGAATTGTCACAATTTATACTCCCTTCAAATGAATGGCCTTGTAGCATTATTGTTCTCTTTGGGTCATTGGATGATTCCATAGCTGTTCTGTAAAATCTTCTGTACAGCTATTATTTTATTTTAACATGAGATGTTAGATGTTGTAGTTTAATAAACTGCTTGTTCATTGGCTGGTTACAAACTTGCAATTGATTATTTGCTGTTAGAATTTCAGTTGTGCATGCAAATTAATTTCCATGTTTGACATCTTTAAAATGATTTAAAGCCTGGATGCTTCCCTTCATTCAGTCTTACCGCCAGATCATCTCCATTCGTTTGTCAGCATGTTTAATACCGATTTACTCTCTGGTACGTGTATTTTCTTAGGCAGCATATATGGTGTACATGAAAACAGTCTCTGAAAATATCAAAAATGGATCGCAAAATTGTTATGTTTTATACAGTCACATACACAAAACATATTAGAAATACTGATAAATGTTTAACTATTTAATACTATGATTATTACCTAAAATAGGGAGGGGACATGTCAGAAAAAAAAAAGAAACTTAAATTTAAAGTTAACTTTATTAGGTTTATGATAATCATGCATACACCAAATTTGTGGCCAAGGGTTTCTGATCCACCTGGATTTGTGTGGCTGCAGAACTGTAGCTCTCTGGTTGAGAAAATTCTAGCCTGGATCCCTGTCCCTACCTTGTCAAGGCTGGATAGCCAGGCGGATTACATTTGATCCTGTCCTTTGATTAGACAGAACAATGCATGGTAAATTGTGGGTATTTGAGCCATTGCCCTTATCCATGGAAATAAATAGCAAAGTAACAATTAGACTTTACATCGATGGGGATGAAAAGTATAAAAAATGGACTTCTAGACTGAAAGTGTGGCTAAGTATGATGTCACAAAGGGCTCAGATTCAGGGTGAATTTGCAGAATCCATTGTAGTCAACCTAGCCCTACTCATGCAGAGTATTCAAAGCATAACAGGGACAGGGGACCAGGCTAAAAAAATTTGGACAGTCTTACCTGAGAGATACATTCAGATGTTCTGACCACTTATGTATTTATTGAAGTTATCACAACACGTGTATCTATCGTACAAGTGTTTACCTAGTGTTGTTTGAAATAGAAAATTGATTGGATTGGTTAATGTATTTATAGAATACCTGTTCCACAGGTATTCCATTGAAGCATGCACGCTTTATCGTATGTTCAAGTTTATCGCCATTCAAAGCCTCTCTCTAAACACTGCAGTCAGACATTCCCGCGCCCACCCGCCCTCACAAATATTTTTTTGGTTTTTTTATTAATTATACATTTTTGTTTTGTAGATTTGCGGAGAAGTAAAGTTGTATTTGTATTACTGTGTTAAATTAAACTGCACTTACGAGAGTGCTTCTGTATCTAATCAAGTGTTGTTATTTATTTTATAAGTTATTTATGTTCGTTTGAGTGGAAACGAATAAGAACATATTAATTCTATATTTCTGCAGCCAGGCAGCTAGAGTTTGTAAGAGGAGTAATAAATCAGATACATTAATTTTTATAATAAAATAGGCATTGCAACTAGGGGGCTGGGGGGCTTAGACCCCCCCCCCAACCCCCCAAACTTTTTTTGCAAATATAGAAATTATATAGGCATTGAAAATTGGGGATTTTCCTTTTTCTGTTGGTTTAGCCCCCCCCCCCCCACTTTCAATTAGACCCCAACTTTTCATTTGCTTCCGACGCCCATGCATAATATGCACGTATAAATATAACAAATGGTTTCTCTGTTTAAAAGAGCTAGGTCTATAATTATTATGCATGCATGTAAAAGACATAACACAGTGTTATCTAAGTATCAGCAGGGGTACCGCAGAACAAGTTCAACAAGGAGTGCCATCTGTATTAGGCCAAGGACTTAGGTGTACAAATATTAAATTCAATATGATAATATAGTAGTACATCCATTTCTCTATAAATACAATGAAAATAATACAAAATTATACATAAAATTACCGTTTCCTTTGGAAATTTCTGACGGACAGTTTCAAGATCTAAAATATAAAGTATCGCGATCCCGTCTGAAAAAAGCGTACCGAACCCGAGCCTTTTAATAGCGTTTTCCCCCCTTGAGAATAAAATGAAAATGCTAGCTGCAGAACTGTAGCTCTCCGCAAAAAAAAATATATTGACAGACAGACATTTCTGCAGCTGTCAATTTATATATATTTTTGAACAACATGCCGCTAAAAATATGGAATCGAATTTGCCAGTGAGGAACCAATTATACTGAAGCAGTGGCGTAGCATCGTTTTTGAAAGTGGGGGGGCCAGGCAGACAAAATTTTTTTTTTACTTACGTGTAAAAAAGAACAGAATTATGAACCATTTAGAAATCTCTTTATCACTTACCTTTGAACAACATGCTGCTAAAAATATGATACATCAGCAGAAATAATGAACTTATTTCAAGAACAATACGATATGGGAATGAGCATATTGCATGTAATCAGGTAAATGAATAGCAGTCTGGAGAAATCTCTAATTGCACATTTAATTTGTTATTATGAAATTCTTGAGAATTACAAATATGCTTTCTTCTTATGGAAATAAATATCTTCCAACAATACAAATTGATATATAATTTTCGAAAATCTTCCACAGAATATCGTGACTTATATGTTCTTAGAGTATTTATATAAAATTCATTTAAGGAATTTTTTTAAAGTTTTGTGTGAGTGAATTACACAGACTAATGTCACGTAAAACTAAAAATTACATAATGTAGCAAAATCATGTCTAGAAACTTTTTTTTCTGGAAATTATTAACGCTACAGTTTATGACGTTTGATTGACAATATTTCCATTTCTAATTTTTCTCTCTGTGATAACTCGTTTGATTGACAAAAAACCTTGCACTTTCAGGAGGTAAACTTGATCGATAATACATGTATGAAAACTATAACCCCCCCCCCTCCAAAAAAAAGTCAAAGACTAGTAAAAATGAAAAAAAAATTAGCAAAACTAACTCACCACACACCAGTATTGTTGGTCCATGCAGGAGTAAGCATCCATTGTTGATGCACTCACACTAGCTCTGAGCAAGGCATATAAGCATTGATTAGGTGGATCTACGTATCATGCGTATAGTGAACAAAAAAAGACAGTTATTTCCTATATTTACATGTACATGTATATTTATATGTGCATATAATGATTCTGTAATTTTACAACCTTGATTTAAGCCCCGGTTAAAAAAAATATTATACCGCACATGGACATTCTCAAAACGACAAAGAACAAACTGCTTGCATCAAGCGAAATATGGGTGTGACTGACAGAGAAATCAGGCACGTGGGATGAAATGTTGGGGGGACAGCCCCAGCCTTTTTATCCAAGCATAACTTTTACAATCGAAAATGTTTACATTTAAGGCCAGTTCTCCCCTCCCCCATATTTGTTGTATAGTCAAATATGGGCGAGGAAGGGTAATGCAGTATATGAATAATTAAATTTGGTAATCACAACCCCCACGAAATGGAATTTTCTATAGTTTGGATAATTCTCTTTTTTATTGCCATTTTTTTAAAAGACAAGTTGATTTTTTTTTCTATGCCACCTCTTTAAAAACGATGCTTCGTCTCTGAAAATTTCACATTTTTAATTTAGGGGAGGGGTCTATCCACACATTTAGAACCACGTTTTATTTCAATAACTTTTGTTGATTGAAATTTGAATGTCAAAATGTTCTAGCACGAGTTTTAAGAATTTGTAGGTACATTTCAGGAAACTCTCATGGTCTGTGGAGAGACTTTATGAAATCAAGGGATCTAATTGGAAAATGGAGCCAATAAATTAATACGTAATACATATGCTTTGATTACTCTTTTGCGATTTTAACATACCAGGAACTGGATTGCTATTGGTGTCTGCAATTTGTACCAATTTGTGCAGTGTCTCAGTAAACTATTCAGATAGGGCGTTCATAGAACTTTCCAAATATACTATGATTCTTGACCTCTTCACCTTGAAGTATGGCCTACTTTTCAAAAAATTTAACATTACTTTAAATTGATCATAACTTCTGAAAAAGAAAAGATAGGACTTTCAAATTACCCATGTGCATGTATATTCCCTGTGACAAGGCCTTTTTTTTTTAAAAAATATACTGTAATATTTTTACCCTGTGACCTTGACCTTAAAATTTGGTCTATTTTTCAAAGCCCTTTTTTATAACTTTGATTGAGAAGAGATAGGACTTTATATTTGACATGTGCATTACCTGTAACAAGATGTTTCCAATCATATTATGATTTTTGGCCCCTTGACCTTGACCTTCATGTTCCTCAATTATTAAAAGAATGCACATCCACAATTTATTATGAAACAATATTTACTGAACACATACATTTAAGTTATCATATACATATCTGCACAATACCAAAGAATGGTGAATATTTTGAAATAAAACCGATTCAAAGTATCAAATAAATTAAATTCATTTCTTTCTCTCTCCCCCCTCTCTCTCTCTCTTTCTGACTCTCTCTCTCAACAATTCGTGCTATCATCACAATTTCCAACTGTTGCTCACTGATATACCGGATGTATATTATGAAGAATAGATGATATTTAGCTATCATGTCCAAGCTTTTTTTCACAGCAGACAATGCCAAATCAAACATCTTTTAAAAAATTTACATCTATATCACACAAGAGCTAAAAAATTCAAATAAAAATAAATACATAGAATTTAGCTATTGATTTCAACTCGAGCTGATTCTGACTCTGCAGCAATTATTACAGAGTACAAAAATAAATTCAGTATTTTACATGAACAACTTCAGTGAAAAATTGCCACATGACAACCCCATATTTTTTAATATCCTGAGAGAAGAATGAACTGTTAGGATTTAACTGATTCACTCATACCATGAAATACAGAGACATACTATTTGCAATTTTTTTTTTGGATAGAAATGCTTGACAGAATGCAATGAACAGTCCTTCCAAGTTTCAACAAATTTCGCTGAGCAGTACTGAGAAATGAAGAAGACAAAAAAATATATTTCATCTGCTTCCATGAAAATGGTGGCCATTTTGAAAATTTCTTTTGTAAATTGCACATACTGAGTTAATTAAAATTCTCCCAACTATCTTTGAGAAAATTAATAGATTTTTTTTTTTAGGTTTTTCAATAACAATTTGTCGCATCATTTCATGCAGATTGACATAAATCAAAGAGAGTCATCATTTGGTGTTTGATCCATACATGGTCTTGAATGCATATTAAAATTTCTTAATGGTATCTGCATGTGCAAACAGTTTTAAATATTCCATCAGTATCTTTCACTCTAGCTAACTATTTCTTAGATATCACACCATTTGTACATACAACATTAAATCACTCTATAAAATCACAGACAATATAACCTTTATATACACAATGTATGGCAACATGGCAAGAAAAAATGGGCAAAACATTCAAACCATGTCATGATCTGTAAATATTAAAAGGACAACCTCAAAACACTCTGCTGAAATTAAAACAGCATATTAATTGCCCTAATTCTGCTGTTTTTCCTCAATTTGACAAACAAATACACACATCTTGAACTTTTTATCACAGTGGAATGTTACTTATTTTACAGGCCTCATAGCTGAAATCAGTAACATTGATTTTAAAATGCTATATACAGGTTCATTTTTGCCCTGTTTTATTTTTGCCCTTTCACGCCTGCAAATTTTTTTTTCACCCCTCACTTTCTGTTTTAGATATTATATATTCTATTCTTTGACTTCATCCCATTTCACCCACCTGTGAGTAAGGTGAAAATAAAACAAGGTAAAAAATGTCCCTGTGTACAGTATACTATTAAACATTGAAACACATAAATAAAAAAAAGGCAGATTTTTAAAATAAAAATTTAAGATTTTCAGTTTTTCACAGATCCTGCTGATGTATTCAAAGATAGAAAATTATAATTATACATATATAATTAAATATACACAATGTCTAGTACATAGTACATACAATATTTATGAATATAATTCGATCCATATAAAAATTGCACTTAGGACTAAGAAACCAATTGATCTGGCAGTCTGACATTGTCAGATAATGTATGCAGTCTGCCTTTGTCTGATAATGTATATCATAGTATTTATATTGCCATCATTACATAATACAGGTAATCACATTTGCAAAGAAATGGATATGGTATATCCAATAGCAATGCTTAATTAAGATCAAATTGACACGTTTCATGATCAAATCTAAGAACTGAGTAGACAAAAACAAAAAAAGAACACAAAAATAAATACTAGTATATTCTGAACAAAAGATGGGCCCTAAAAATTGGGTGTTCATCATCTACATACCCTTGAAATCATTCTAAAAAGAAATCTGGTCATAGCTCTACAGCAAACATTGATTCTTATATAAAAAATATTCCTTAGTTTCACACACGTAATTTAGTATCACCCAAGTTTGTCTATTAGATTAGATATTTTAATTGTATACATAGCATAATGGCATAAATTGCTAGCTACCATGCACAACCCTTTAAAAGCCAAAAAAGCAATTACATGAGACACATGTATAAATCTTTAAAATAACTTGTATAGATATAAAATAACTTGTCTATAAGATCAAGTTTATACAATAAAACTTTAATACTTTTTTGTATATTAATTGGCTTTCAACTAATATTTTCGTATAGAGACTTGTATGTATAATAATATCAATGCCGATATCAAAAGAACGAGTTCTTCTTCTCTGAGATGAAAAGAAATTGATTTTGTCTGGTTCCTGATCCAGACAATGACCTTGCCTGGTGCCCTTGCCAGCTTTGTCATAAACTCCATCTTGTGTTGTTCATTGGAATGCTTAAAGGGACGTAACTTTGAATTTTCTTTTCCTTCTGACAATTTTTTTCACTCATATGGACGTGATGTAGGATCTCCCTTGGGTTGTTGGCCATTCTTCATTAATGGTTTAGAATAAGCGGGTTCGTCTTTGGCTCTTTTTCTTTTGAAAAATCCACACTAAAAATATTGTAAATTATGATTAACTACTCTTCTACACCAAAACAACATATTCTTTGATGTTACAAATGAAAACCAATTCATTTAAAAATGCATGTATGATAAAAATTTTTTTGTTGAATTAAACACATTTGGTAGATCTACACAGACACTTCAGTCTGCTTGTACTTACCACCCAGAGTACGACAATGATAATCAACAGCAGAAGTAAACCGCCTACGATGGCCACCGCGATCTTCCAGATCTCCACACCCTTCACTCGTGGCGCCAGTCTCTCTGCATTCACATACGTTGACACCTATCAAACCAAAAACTTCATTACAAGGTTTTTCAAACTTGAATATAAAGCTATTTTAACTTTTTGAAGATAAGAATGCGACATGAAGCATTAAAAAAAATTAATAAATCTGGATGAGACACTGTAGATTGCTTAATTATTATACATGAGGCATTTATTATCAGATATTTTCATGAGATGCACGTTATCATGCACCATGTGTGAAAATTACCAGTTGTTATTTTTAAATTGCAGAAATGTATGTAAAAACTCTAGACCAATACTAATATTCAATTCACGTTTTCATCATTTGCTGTTTAGGAGTTATTTCATAACATTAGGTACTTGCAAACAATAGGGAATTTTTAGTACTGTCTGCATATCAAAGTAACAGACAGAATATATAGAATGTCCTCACCTCTGACAATGACACCATGTACGTCTCGTTCTGATGATCCACAGGGATATTGTATGGCATGGTCTGGACTTGTGCCAGTGCTTGTGATTTCAAATTAAATGGTTCAGATGTAAGACCTCTCTATAAAAATAGACAAAAAGAGCTATTATTATTGTTTAGTTTTTAGCCTGTTTCATTTTCATCTCTTGTAAATTGGATCTTAGAAAACTGCACTGTTTTTTGTTCATAACCTGAACATTTCATACTGTTCTCACTTGGAACTACATCTTTTTTTTAGAGGGGGTGCATATTTCTTCAATGTCCTATTTTATAATTAATTTACTTTCTATGAAACTGATGCTACAAGAATTTTATATAAACTTTCCAATGTAACTGCTATTTTTCTACCCCCTTTTAATAAAATTTCAGAGAGGAGAAGACTGAAAGATAAATTCTGTTTGATTTCTCAGCTATGTCACTGCCCGGGAAAATACACTTTCTACCTTGATGGACTATAAATTTGCTATTTCCCTCCTAACCATTCCATAGCTGTATAAAATAATCAAGGCTACTTACTAAGACTAGAGTATTTGTCCATATATGTGACTTGATTCGGATGACAGCAGCTTCTCTGGAATCCACCATTCGACCGGGCATAGGACCCAGGAAACATTTGATAAATGTACAGTACTGATTGTTGCACACCTGAAATAAAAGAGGATTCATTCCTCTCAATACTTCATATTTTTATTTTTTAAAAATGTTGGCTTGTAAATAAATATAAAATTTTTCACTTTCAATGCATATGTATGAAACAGACTACTCAATTACAATGTACGTACCACATTCTTAACATTGGATGTCTCCCGTCTGGTTCTGCTGTTCCTTTTTGACTTTGTCTGAAGACGAACATTAATTCTACTGTTTCCTTCTCTGTATGTAAAATCCTAGAAATAAGACAGGGCTACTTTAAATGAAATCAGAGTAAGAGAAACCAAGAATATCTAAATTTTTACAATTTTGCTTTTGTCATAATGAAAGCATGCTTTTTTCCATGGGGTTATATTTCCACTAATTGAATCACAATTTCTATTCAATTTACATGTGAAAAATTAAGCAGAATTTCTTAGAAATGCCATTGTATGTCTTAATTCTACTTTAAAAATATTGTGACAAATTGTGTCCATGCACAAGCAATCATATCATAAACTGAAACAAGAGGCCCATGGGCCACATCGCTCACCTGAGAAGCTTTGACCATTCTGTTCTTTACCAGATTTCACCCTTGTTATACATAATGCATCCCCACATTACCCCACTGATCATAATTTAGACATTTTGAAATCTACACTACCCCATGATCCTTCCATTGGCACATACATGTATGTTTCAGCTTTTTTGGCCCAGTGGTTCCTGAGAAGAAGATTTTCAAAGATTTTTCCTATATATTTCTATGTAAAACTTTGATTCCCCATTGTGGCCCCGCCCTTCCCCGGGGGTCATGATTTGAACAATTTAGAATCTACACTATACCAGAATGCTTCCATATAAGTTTCAGCTTTTCTGGCCCAGTGGTTCTTGAGAAGAAGATTTTCAAAGATTTTTCCTATATATTTCTATGTAAAACTTTGATTCCCCATTGTGGTCCCACCCATCCCCCAAAACACATTATTTGAACAATTTAGAATCTACACTATACCAGGATGCTTCCACATAAGTTTCAGCTTTTCTGGCCCAGTGGTTCTTGAGAAGAAGATTTTCAAAGATTTTTCCTATATATTTCTATATAAAACTTTGATTCCCCATTGTGGCCCCGCCCTTCCCCCGGGGGTCATAATTTGAACAATTTAGAATCTACACTATACCAGGATGCTTCCACATAAGTTTCAGCTTTTCTGGCCCAGTGGTTCTTGAGAAGAAGATTTTCAAAGATTTTTCCTATATATTTCTATATAAAACTTTGATTCCCCATTGTGGCCCCGCCCTTCCCCCGGGGGTCATGATTTGAACAATTTAGAATCTACACTATACCAGGATGCTTCCACATAAGTTTCAGCTTTTCTGGCCCAGTGGTTCTTGAGGAGAAGATTTTCAAAGATTTTTCCTATATATTTCTATATAAAACTTTTATTCCCCATTGTGGCCCCGCCCTTCCCCCGGGGGTCATGATTTGAACAATTTAGAATCTACACTATACCAGGATGCTTCCACATAAGTTTCAGCTTTTCTGGCCCAGTGGTTCTTGAGAAGAAGATTTTTTAATGACCCCACCCTATTTTTGTCTTTTCTTGATTATCTCCCCTTGCGAGGGGATATGTCCCTTCATTTTAACAATTTAAATTCCCCTTTACCCAAGGATGCTTTGTACCAAGTTTGGTCAAAATTGGCCCAGTGGTTCTTGAGAAGAAGTCGAAAATGTGAAAAGTTTACAGACGGACAGACGGACGGACGGACAGACGGACGGACGACGGACAAAATGTGATTAGAAAAGCTCACTTGAGCCTTCGGCTCAGGTGAGCTAAAAATGCTGGAAAAAAAATTATACACTTATTAAGAATATTGCGCATAATCAAATTCAAATGCCAGGTGGAGGAAGTCATAAAGAAAAGTCCTTCAAGAAAACACAATGAAATGTAACTTAATTCCGTAATTACCGTAGAATTTTCGGGAGACAGGAGTTGAGTCTGACAGAACCCTCCTTCATGATTGAGAACTATGGGATCCTCGTCTATTTTGAGCAAATGATTTCCTTGATCGTCAAAGCTGGGCCAGTAGATATTGATTAAGCTGCTACTGACAGGTGTGGGTCCTAGATTTCTCACCTACAAGTTAGAATTCTGTATTAAATAGAAGCCTGACTCCTACATATTTAGTTATTCCTGGACATACATAACCAAATAAATTTAAGAAAATCATTCAAGATACTTTTTCTGTTAAAAGAATTTCTTGGTTTTTATTTTTTAAAACTATTGCAGACATACAGCTAAACAGACAAGGGGGATGAGACTGTGTAAACTAAAACATAACCTACCCTGTACTCATGTATGATTTCTGGACCAAATCCTGTACCTTTGTACAATCTCACACCAGTGTCATTGTAGATTATTTGTTCTGTTGAGGCAGCTAAATTTCTGTAACAAATCAACAAAATTTTATACAATTGTATTTCTGTCATCTTTCTTCTTTTTTTTTTAAACAAGAGACTCATGAACCATACTGCTCACTTGAGTATCAGGACTCTATTTTCTTCACACATATAAAGGGTATTCACCTTCCTGTAGCTCAGATTTATGTCAAAAGGCATTTACAACATAGAAATATTGCATAATACAGTGTGTATACAATCAATTTGAAAAAATTACACTCTAAAGACTTGGTTGTACCTAAAGATAACTGTACATGAATATACAGTGCATTTACAAAAAATATTACTATATATGCCCCCTTCCCCCATATACAAGAGGAAATTTTGACATTGTTGCTCCAGAAACTTTTTTCTATTATACCACTTCCTATAACACAGTCCTGATCATGTGTACAGATTTGAACTTACGCAGAAATCTCCAACACAGCATGTTGTCGGACATCTATATGCATGGTATAAACATTGTCCCACATATCTGTACTGTTTTCTGGGTTAGAACTGAAACAAAGAATGTCTTCATTAGTCTTGATTTAAGGACAACTTTCTGAAAAAAATTAGAAAATAATACTGTTATGTTTTTTTTCATTGCCAGAAATATATCAATCATTAAGTCAAGATGTAGATCTCCTTGATGGTCACCAAGATAAATCTAAATGTATTTTTTTTCTATATTCATAAAGACAGCCATTTTTTGTCATCTACAACCTTTCTTGTGGTTAATTACTCTTAGACTACTACATACAACTAGTGACTAATTGAACTACATTTAGCATTGGAATTCACAGGTTTTCTCTCCATTTCACTACATTCAACCTGTGCAATGAATGCTCCCACAGGTTGAATGTAGTTTAAAAGAGAGAAAACCTGTTGCCTCCAATGATGAACTACATATAAACAACTTCCAAACTCTAAATTTGTCAATAAAGGAATGGAGTTAATGTTGCAATCAAAAGATAAAACTTTTCATTACCTGTTGACATTTAATTTAAAAGCCAGTTTATCTGTTGATCCATCAGTATTGTTTGGAGTGACCAACAGTGTAAAATAAGTCTGGAAAAATAACAAATCAGTTTCAATGAGAATAAGTGGCAATCTAGATCACCTGTGAAATAATTGATCTTTACCAATATACAATAAAAGTGGAAATTTTAGCGAGATGTAAATTTACCTATTTGTCCCCATAAAATTGTATTTTATTTTTGGCAAGAGGTAATTTTAGCAATTTTAAAATGCTCACTAAGAAGCTATTACAAATAAAACACAATCAATTTTAAGCAGTTTTCAATTTTAGTAATCTCAGCACCCGCCTTGCTAATAATGCCAAAATTAAATCCTTGCTAAAATTTCTGCATATACAGTATTAGTAAATATGCTCCTTGAATGTCTAATGTATACAGCGATCTCACCTTGGCTCTGGCAGGCATGGGGTTTCCTATGTCACAAATCACATAGCGGGTTTCATTGATTGGTACGTGCCTGCATGTCAAAGGTACAGCCTAGAAAAAGTGAAAAATGTAAAACACATAAATAACAAATACAGTAAAACTTAGTTATAAGGAACTTATTTACAAGGATAGCTTATCTGTAATGATTTTTTTAAGATTTCTCTGTAAGACTCTTCAATACATGATATTTTTTTGAATGCATATACTGTAAATTGTTTTAATTCCGCGGTGTTAAAATTTCACGATTTCTCAAAGAGTACCGGTCGCGATGGTTTTAATTTCACGATGCAAGAAATTGATTTAAAATTTCTTATAAGCATTTAAACGTTTCTAAAAGCCAATAATGGCATTCACGATGGGTTTAATATCGCGGAAAAATGATAAATCGCGAACATAGCGAAGTTAAAACCATCGTGATTATTTGCCAATCTACAGTATTAAAAAATTTCAGTTGAAAGGAAGCAAAATTCAAGGTCCCAGCAACTTCTTTATAACAGTTTTACTGTACATGTATATACTGTAAACCAACTTTTCTTCGCTTGCGAGAAATTTTCGCGAGGTTCGCGAGAGCCTTGTCATCGTGAATATTTCTTGCCACGAACCAGTCCTTAAATTGCATGTGTATATTAATAACAGATCCAAAAAGGCTTGATCGCAAAAATTAATTGTCGCAAATTAGTTTATCCTTAGTAAATCGCGAAATAAAGTCGTCGCGAATAAAAGTTGGTTTACAGTACTTTCATGTTTAGTAATTTTTTTTCTTTTATTTTGTTTATTTAAGTTATAATACAACAGAATACTTCTTATAGTAATCAGTATTTTCCTTACAGCATTAATATTGGTGATGCCACTGTATAACATTCCGTTAGGAAGTTCTATGTACAGCATCGTCTCATACGAGTCCTCGGCAAACGTCCCAGAATTCCTCACTGTAATGCTTATCTCTATCTCCTCATAAGAACTTCCAACTTCAATGGGGGGTGCAAACCTTTAACAGAGTGTAAATATATATTCAAGGACATATACTCAAAACAGTAAATCTAGGTCAAGGACATGTACTACAAACAAAAATTCTAGGTCAAGGACATGTACTCAAAACAATAACTCTGTGATTCAAGACATGTACTCAAAACAATAAAATGGTGTCAAGGACATAAACTTAAAACAATAAATTTGCATCAAAGCAGGCTTCAGGGCCCAAAAAACTTAGAATAGACAAGCTTAATTTTTATATTTATTGCCCCCAAAGCCAGGTCTGTACCACAAATGCACCATGCATTCTTGTGTAATTGGAGAGGAGAAAAATGTGGTGGACCAGACCGGTAATCAAACCCGGGCCCCTGAATCTCCTGTCAGGTGCTGTATCGACTGAGCTATCTGGCCACTGGGTTCGAATCCTGGTCTGGTCTGCTGCATTTTCTCCTCTTCCGTTACACTTGAATAGATGAAAAAGATGGAAATGTAAATTTCCCATGGTATACTTATAACTTACGGTTCAACTCTCTCAGCTAAAACAGACAAATCAGGAATGCATAACTCATCTTTTCCACAGTTCTTGCTTATTTTCCCCTGTAATATAGATAAACAGCAGTTATAAAATTACACTTATTCGTGTGTCCTGTTTTTTCTTTATTACAACATTCAACAATTACTCATAATTAGACCTTAGATTTTACAATCTTTAAGGGAGTTATCCTACCTCGACAGTGACGGTGGAAGGTATGTACTTGTCCAGTATTGGGGGGATGGTTTTGAGCGTCGCCTGACGTTTGTTTCGTCCGGACACTTCGTTCTCTCCGACCAATCGGTAAGAGAAGGAAACGTCAATTGGCGTTAATTTATCTCTGATGTTGTTCTGTAAAATGATCATGACAAAATTATTTGGAAGTCCAAACCCAATATATTCTTTATATATCCTTGATATCTTAAATTATCAGATATCTTGAAGTTTTTTCTTGGTTGGGTCCCATCACATTTGAGATGACAAGGTTAAAAGACTGTATACAAGACAATTTTTGCCCCCCTTTTATTTTCGCCCGTCTTCGTCCTACCCTCATTTGGGCGAATTTAAAACGGGGCAAATTCAAAAAATGCACTTCAATTTCTTTAAGAAAAAATGACTGGGCAATTTTAAAATGGAGCAAAATTGTTTGCGAGTGTGAAAGGGCGAAAATAATCCTGTATACAGTAACTATCTGTTTCCAGGACATCATGTAATTGAGATTTTGTTTGGCTTAGATACATTTCATGTCAGATTCTAAAACCATCTTCATTGAAACAGATACTTACCAGTACATAGACAATGAAGTCGTGACAGAAAACCTCCATCTTCTTCAGTCTGAGGTTGAGTTCCGAGACTTCTGGTTGTTGGGTCTGATACTGAAACATCCGCTTAGAAATGTTCTTCCTGGCATCCAGTGTCCAGAAAAAATCAAATTCTGTGAAGAAATTTTATACATTATTAACACAGTGAAACTTGTCCAGTCTGGATGTTGTGTAATCCGAAATCTTGTCTAACCGGATGTTAACTTCAAATCCCTTGCAGTAATTTCAATTGTTATACTACTACAAGCATTATCTCTGAGATACCATAAAACCTGCTTATAAAGAAGTGCCAAAGGATGGATGATTTTGCTTTGTTATAAATTTAATTTGCTATATCCATTAAGTTCCCAATATATTTTAAGGCCATGGGGAATAAAAATTACTTCGCTATAAGCGTGTTTTACTATAAATGTATTTAATCCAGCGTTTAATAATAATAACTTACCCAGTTCCTCACTTACTCCCACACCATTATACTCCACACAGGTCCTCACAATCAAACTGAAAAGTACAAGTTATCTGCCATCAGATTGTAGTGTTTAATAGAACCTACAGACATCATCAGCTCACCAAAACTTCACAAGAATGCAGCGATTAATTTAGTGTCTGAGAAAAACCTGGTCAACAAAATAAATATACTGCTGCTGCATTTTAACAGAGTATAGAACTGTTCTTTCTCCTTATGTTTATAACATTAATTTATCTCAACAACTGTACATGTAGGTCTTTATCTATAACATTTTAGTACCAAACCTCTGATTGAGTTACCTCCCTTTACACAATAAGCACACTTACCATGGAACATGGATTTTGTACGAGTCATCTCCGATGTGACAGTTCTTATTCTTCTCTTCCAGTTTAATGATATCCGGATCCAGACGTAAACTGGCTGCCACTCGGACTATAGGTCTGGATCTGATTTACAAGTTAATTAAATTACTGTCACTAATTAATTCATTAATGGCTAGAGTTGGCAGTATGCAATTTACGATGGAATCAGAAATACGAATCCTTTATAACTACACTGTAATCAAAACTATGTTGAAGATATCATATATCTTATTACACTGTATTAATTATTAGTCTAAACTATAGATTCTGGTAGAGAGGGAGTAAGAAGATATAAACATTACTTTTTTGCCACAAATTATTCCAAGTACAGTGTACTGTTAGCTAATTGCCTCAGAGTGTTTTTTTTTTAATATTGGATGCAGTTAACTAAGATCATGTACAATTATTTAAACTGTTAACATTGAGATCTTACTTCACAAAAACTGCTGCGTCAGCATCATATGCTCCTACCACTAGATCTGTTTGGATAAAAAGAAAAACAACCACTGAAAAACTGTACGCAGTTATAGATAAAAAGGATGTATATGTATGCAATTGTCACTTTGTGAATTTCAAAACAAAGGAATCTAATCTTTAAACATTCTGACTTTTAGTTTAAATAATTGTTATCATTAAACAGAAATATGCTTGAGTATAAATCTTCAGATAAGACTATAAGTTTAATACAAGGACTCACCAGGGTAGCCATTTTTGTCCAGGTCATACCCTCCTGAGATTGAGAAGCCAAACGTACTGAGGTAGTACCCAATGTCTTTGCCGTGTAGAACCTGCGAGACTTCTGTGATAATTCCGTCCATAGATCCCACATAGATGTACACCACTCCTCTCCTCTCCAGACCCCCGTACGGTGCACCAACAGCTAAATCTATAACATTTATCAGTGTTTACTTTCAGTAACTTTGAAATGTTGATTGGGGAGGGGGGGGTATCATTTAAAGATACTTTTTCTAAAGCCCTCATATATTCAGCTGAATTTTTATATCTCAAACACTTCAATACAGTCAAACCTCATTATCTCAGACTATCAATCTATCTGATGGGACAGAAAAAAAAACTTTGAGATATCTGAGGGTAGACAGCAAAACTCAGTTAAAACGAAGTCATTGGGACCTATGAAATTACATCATTATATCCGTAATTCATTATAACCGTATAAGAAATTCATTATATTATTACAGCTTGGGATCAAAGATGACTTCGCTATATCCGTAAATTCGCAATATCCGTGTTCGTACTAACCGAGTTTTGCTGTATAATACTTAAAGAGTTATCAGTCAGAACTTCCAAATCACTTCAACATATTCATGTATTTGAGATGTCATTACTCGAGATACAAAAGTTTAAGTAACTTTTACTGTGCCATGGATTCGTCAAAGTGCATTGTAAGTGACGCAATCACTTATTTTTTAAGCTTTTAACGCTTGATCATCACATTGACATCTTAAAAACTCTAATATTTTGAAGTTTTCCCCAGTCCCATCAAGTTTGAGATAATAAAGTTTGAATGTATACATATCCTTTTCTAAGTTCTATGTTGATAAAATCATATGCTTCTCAGAGTGGGTGTTAAAGAGTCTTAGATGTAAAACCAAGCTGATAGCTTACCATTGAAGGAATCTCTGTTGATGTCCCCAAGTCCTGTAAGAGCGCTCCCAAACCGTGACCGAGCCTCATATCCATCTAAAATGTCCTTCTTCTTCTGTCTGAATTTCCTCTGAAAGGATGTCCAGAAAATTTTTTAACTAAAGCATGGGTGTGGGAGTTACCTGTCACATCCCAAGAAGGGATTACCATCCTGCGGAGATCTATAGGTCTCTCTTAATTATACTTAACAAGGTCATATACATAGATAACTTAGTGATATTCTTATTCTAATCTGCAAAAATAACAGGAGGTGGTTAGTAGTTGTCTATCATTTCATATTTACTTCAAAATCTATATCAAATCTTTTGTTTTTATTAATATTGCTTTTGAACAATGGAATGTTTATTGGATATGTTCTTTGTAAAGTTTTCAAAAGGAACAGATTTTTTTTTTCTTGGGAAGATGAATATCTAATTTCAACAGCTCCTAAAAATTCAGTAATCTGTCATGAAAAAACAACTGATATAATATTTTTGGATAATTGTTTTTGCATTATTAGGATAGTAGAAGCTGAAAAAGTTACTGTAAAAAAAGATGTGCTTAAGACTGTGAAAAGTAGTACTAGAAAGAGAGAAGCTATCAAATTAAATTAATTATATTAAACAAGTTATAATTGAGAAAGATGTGCCAACAGTCCAACACCATAAGTAAAGGCTCTCTTACAGCTTATGACAAATGAAAGCAAATGTCTCATCAAACTTAAAACAACTTTAGTATATATAACAAAAACTAGAGTATATATTACAGAAGCTTATTTAAAACCCCAAACCCTAAGCTGATAACTTACTGAATCAGAATCCTCATTAATACCTCCCTAATTATACAGAAAAAGAGAAATTACTAATTAATTAACACAGTCTGCCATATTCGTCTATTCTGCTGAAATAGTTGACGTAAAATGATTGTGTTTGTTGATAGGAGTTTTTCCCCTTTGAATTAAATTCTGATTTATTCAGATTTTTCAGTTTCTGATCATAAACTTAATCATTTCTTTTTTTTAATTTGACATTTACTCATCATAATAAAATAATCAACACTGCCCCTGCTAGTTTTAACAGTTTAAAAGCAAACAATTTATTTTACTTTGTGGTTATTATACTGACCCTGGAGTCTTGATAGTAGATGTAAACTCTGCCTGTATCATAGGAAAAGGAGTCCTTGTCAGAATGAAGAGGGGCACCAACAATGATATCATCAAGCCTACAAAACATTAATATCTCACTTTGATATCAACAAACCTAAAATATATTAATATCTCACTTTGATATCATCCAGCTTACAAGAAAATAATTCTGTTATCTCACAATATCAAGCCTACAAAATATAGCTCCTGTTATGAGTACTTTAATAGTGATATCAAGTTTACAAATATCAATCCTGTTACAAGCACTATGATATCAAGTTTACAAAATATTGAAAATATTAAACAAGAGGCCCAAGGGCCACATCGCTCACCTGATCAGATTGGCTAGGAAAAAGCACAAATCAGATCAGAATTGAAAAGTAACGGGGGGGGCTTTAATTTTAATACTACTTGAGAAAGCATTCATATCAATACAGCATATGACTTTGCTGTTCTTGATAAAAAGATTTTTTTAAACGTTTTGTTCCTATATTTTACTTTGTAATAATTTGAATTTGATTCCCCATTGTTTCCCTCCCTACCCCAAAGGGTCATGATTTGAACAAATTTAAATCTTCAATACATGAGGATGCTTACATGTCAATATGACTAAACATAGCTTTTCTGTTCTTGGGATTTTTCCCTTTATTTTCTATGTAAAACTTTGATCCACCATTGTGGCCCCACCTTAACCTTGGGGATTATGATTTGAACAAATTTAATTCTAAACTACCTGAGAATGCTTCCATATAAATACTAGTATCACTATTAAATCATGGCTTTGCTATTCTTAAAAAGAAGATTTTTTAAAAATATTTTAATGTAAAACTTGGATCCCCCATTGTGACCCCACCCTATCCCTGGGGGTTATGATTTGAACAAACTAGAATCTACACTACCTGAGGATGATTCAATATAAATATCACTAATCATGGCTTTGAAGCACTTGAGAGGAAGATTTTTAAATAGTCATTTACTCTATATACTCCTAAAAAAAAATTTCACGAATTGTGGTTATTGCCCTATATAACCCTAAGGGGGTCAAGATTATGTACTGAAATTTTGAATCTACACTACCTGAGGATGCTTCTATATGAGTTTCATCTTTCCTGTCTCAGTGGTTCTTGAGAAGAAGATTTTTAAAGATTTTTCCTATATATTCCTATGCAAAACTTTGATCGGCCATTGTGGCCCCACCCTACCCCTTGGGGTCATGATTTGAACAAACTTGAATCTACACTACCTGAGGATGCTTCCACATGAGTTTCATCTTTCCTGGCCTAGTGGTTCTTGAGATGAAGATTTTTAAAGATTTTTCCTTTATACTCTAATGTAAACCTTTGATCAGCCACTGTGGCCCAATCCTACCCCCGGGGGTCATGATTTGAACAAACTTGAATCTATATACATGAGTTTCATCTTTCCTGGCCCAGTGGTTCTTGAGAAGAAGATTTTTTAAAAATGCCATTAATTTTTCACTAATTCATAATTATCCCCTTCACCTAAGGATACTTTGTGGCAAGTTTGGTAGAAATTGGCCCAGTGGTTCTTGAGAAGAAGATAAAAATGTGAAAAGTTTACGAAGACGACAGACAATGGATAAATTTTGATCAGTAAAGCTCACTTGAGCCTTCGGCTCAGGTGAGCTAAAAATATTGATCCTGTTAATAGCACTTTGATATCATGAGTACTTAGTGATATCAAGTCTACAAAATATCAGTCTTGTTATGAGCACTTTGATATCAAGTCTATATAATACTGATCCTGCTATGAGCACTTCATTTGTTACAAGCCTACAAAATGTTGATTCAGATCGTGTTTTGTGAATAAAAAATTTCTTTGAAAAGCAAGGATATTTCTATTATTTAATAAATCTATTGATGTTGAGAACACATAGACAGAATAAATTTTTTTTTGGTTTAACTATTTTTTCCTGTAATGAGATACATACTTGTCTCCATTCAAATCTTCAACAGCTAATGCATATCCAAAATATGCACCTATCTGTCAGGGGAAAAAAATTATTATTTTAATTGTATATAAATCATATCATAACAATATATATACAGCAGCTATTTTTTATCCAAATTTTTCCAGAGCTTTACAAATGTATACTCAGTAACTCTAACATTGTAATTTTAAAACAATATATTTCAACAGAAAGTTGCTAAATAAACTATGAGCATGAATGTTTGTGGGAAAAAAGTCAATTAATTTTTTGAGTTTGACCAAGTCTTACCTGTTTGCCAGTGATATTTTTAATGGGTTGTAAATTCTGATTGTAAAGTTGAACCTTTAAAATAAACAGATGAGTTTTATGATCTCATAATCTCCAAAAGAAACACTGCAATAAATATAGACATACATATATCATATGCTTGGGATTCATTTGTTAATTAAGTTTTTTTTTGTTGTAAATAAATAAATCATCAAATACATGTACACTCACAAACCAAAATTCAGCTCAATATCTGCAAGAGTTTAGAAAAAAAAGTCCAGAAAACCAAGTGGGACAGACTGATAGACAGAGGGACAGATAGACGAACAGACATATGGACGGATAGACTCAGAGGAAACCTTTAGTCCCCTCCGGTTTCACCGGTAATCATTACCAATAGTTACAAATGTTTATCAAGATATGTCTGTGAAACAATGATGCCCCTGTGTAGGGTGGCTCAAGACAAAAGTATAACTGAAACTAGGTTGAACTCCAAGTCAATATCAAGAAGTGATGTTTGTACTCAAGAAGGTCATTGCCACCCAAGGGAATACAAATAAATATGAAGTCCTTATCACCAACCATTCACAAGTTAAGCCCAATGTTAATTATAAATTTTAATAATAAATTTATTATAAATAAGGTCTATCTCCAAAGTCAAGGTCAGAAGATTAACAATAAAGGTCTTGTCACATTGGGCCACTTTTGCTCATCATTACTATGAAACATTGGAGATTAAAGAATTACTAAACATGCTAAATTTTCATTTTATAGATCAAAAGAGCCCATTCCTTACTCCAGAATCTATTAAGGAGCCATAAATTTGACAGTTTAAGAGCAGGTACTAATAATAACTTTAAAAGACAATTTTATCTGATCAGAATTATGCATGTGCAAGGATATCATCCTCAAAGGCAAACATAAGTAGGACTGGCTTTGAACGAATTAAATACGCATTAAAAATCATAACAATTTACGAATGTGCACTTCAGAATACTTCTGAAATATGAAACCCTGCATTAAGTACTCTGTACTACATGTAACAATCAAAAAAAAAAATAGCCACTTAAAATCAAAAGCAGCCATTACAAGATGTGCATGGGCACTCCTTTATAAGAAAGCAGTACTGTAAACTTACCACTCCCAGGAGTCGTTCAGCCCTTGGAATGCCAACAACATAATCTGAAATTATAACACACACATTACAATTAATATTAGAAAAATCCAAAGACATATGCTATACAAGATTCAGAATTTTTGAAAAAAAATCAAATTTATATCCAGAATGATTTATCCAAAATACACTGAATTTAACAGTCAGCAAATTTAATATGTGGATGGGTACCTTCTACATTGTCATTATCAAAGTGTCCAACTGCTGACGAGTAACCTATCGGGAAAAGGAAAAAAAAAGTTAAATAAATGTTGAACTTAAATACAAGTAAAATTGAACTTGAATACAAGTTACTTTGAATTAAATTACAAGTAAATTTGAGTTCAAATACAAGTTAATTTGAACAAAAACAAAAGTTAATTTTAACTTTAATAAACAAGTTAATTTGAACTTGAATATAAGCCAATTTAAACTTAAATACAAGTAAAATTGAACTTGTATACAAGTTAATTTTAACTTAAATACAAGTAAAATTGAACTTGAATATAAGTTAATTGAACTTAAATACAAGTAAAATTGAACTTGAATAAAAGTTAATCTAAACTTAAATACAAGTATATTCAAAGTAATATTGCACTTAAAAAAGTTAGAGAGTTGAATGACCTTAAATAGAACTTAAAATGGTCTTAACTTTCCCCTGATTCCTACCTCTGTATTTATTGTCCTCTGATGCCCCCTCCTCTCGTGTTGACAACTTGTTGTTATTTAGATCTAACCAGTAGTTGTACACCTGGCCTACAATGTAATAATAATACTTATTTACAATTTATTTAGATCTAACCAGTAGTTGTTAACTTGACCTAGAGGCTAGAGTACAATAAAACATTGAAAATCTAAAAATACTTATGGTACAACAAATATAATCTGTTCACAATCATGTTTTTAATTCTCCTACATAAGACATCAGTAATTAGTTTGGCTGATGAAACTACTTTCTAATTCAACGCTAGCTTTTGTTGGCAATCCTTCCTCATAACAAAAAAAGTCTCTAAAATATCAGCCTTTGTTGGCAATACAGCAGAAGTTCTTAACTAAAAACAACTCATCAGGTAGGAAAATTTTCAACTCCAAGGCAACAATGCCCATCTATCTTTTGACAGAGCAATGTAAAGAACATTTGGTTTTAAGTTGTTTTTAATAAGATGCACATCATCTTCATACCTTGCCAGTAAAAAGCTCCAGGTGCCCCTATCAGCAGTCTGCTGCCATTCTGAAATCATTATTGATAAAAAAAAATGTGAAGGTTGTAAAAAAAAAAAATAGCACACTGATAATACCAATAGTTACATCAACAGTTTAAAAGAACACAAAAAATTGTTCAGTCTGCATTAAAATCTTTCAGAGTGTTCATTCGGAGTGTTGTGTGCATGTGTTATGGTACAGTTTCTGTGAGAATTAAGGGGTCAATTTCTTTTCTGCAGTGTTCAAACTAATATCTAGAGACAATCTAAATCTAACATCAAGTAAATATGTGTTTACATTCTGACATGCCATGAACTATATTTATTGTGGTTATACCCAATACAACATTCATCTGTGCTGACTACATTGCTGGAATTTCCATTACTGCTACTAACAATATATACATCTTATAGTGCTACGACCTTAAGGAACGCACAGCGACCCTAAATCTACTTAGAGCACAAAATATACAGCATATACTCACCACAGAATTCATTCATTCTGTTTATATTAAGATGCATGTGCATTAACTAGCATTCAAGCTGATTTTTTTTCTCGTGTCTTAGATTGGTCAACAATTTGATAACATCACTACATATGTTTTTTTTCCTTGACAATAAATAATACATAAGGCATTGAATCAGCTTCAAAATGTTTAAACCTATTATCCAAGAGCTGTTTTTTTTCTGTATAATGAATCCTGAATGTCTGACAAATGAAATGACAGCTATAGTTTCCCACAAGAAGAGCATGTTCTGATTATTATATGTAAGGCTTTACCCAAGTTGAAGCATTCCACGGTAAAGCTGAAACGAACTGTATAAAGACAGAGACAGAACAAGTGTTTGAGACTCACGTTTGAGAATACGGCAGACATCCCTGCCTGACAGAATCCAACTCTGTGATATCCCCATAACATAACACTACTAATGCCATCTGTAACATAAACCAGCACGTACAGTTCATCATTATTGCTAATGTATTGCTAACTTGAGGTCTTAATTCTTGTTTTGTTTCCCCTTAAGACTCACCATTTTGACCAAGGGGTACCTATACATATATCATACAGAAAAACTTGGTTATAAGGAACTCATTTATTAAGGAATCTCATTTATAAGAATATCTTTATGAATCCACTTAGTGAATTTTCACTGTGTCACTTCACTTCATAAGTTCTTTGGTCAATACACCGACCTTGTCAGAAATACATAATTATTCTCATTAAGTCAATTAAATGCAATCTGACATTTTCAAACTATTTGTTGGGCCATTATTTACACAATGAATTGGCAACAGATTTTTCCATTATTTTCCTATCATGACAAAGAGCATGCAGAGGGTGTGACTTGTCGGCAGGGGATGCTCATTCCTTCATGGCACCGGATCCTTCCTCTGATATTTTGGAGGTCTGTGTTTGGACTTTTGAGCTTGAATAGTATTATTATACTGTCTGTTTTTGTTCTCCATATCACTAATGAATCTTGAATATATAAGGATGTAAAGTTTTAGTGATTTCTTTATAACCAAGTCTTACTATAGGTAGGAAACTGTCTATATTTTCTAATAACTTAAAAAATATTACTGTTACATAAACAGCACAATATATATATTTGAAATCAAGCTGTCTTGCAGTTATTTCCTTCTTTTTTTTCAAGTAGAAATTTGCTGTGAATTGGTCAAAAGGGGAAACAGATGACTGCAATACAGTTGTACAGGTATGATAACTGTAGGGTATTCTGATTCTGATTAAACAAAAACAACAAATATACATTTATACAACAAAATGCCTGCTCTAGCTGTATTTCACATCACAATCATAAGAAAATAAAGAAAGTTTTATGCTTTATTTCTTTGTAATGTTCAAATGATTGGACAAGTACATGAAAATTAAAACATAAACACTTAACATTTTGAAATCAATTTCTACATAAAAGTTTTCTCAAATTTTCAAAACTATAATTCAATCTATAAATGAGAGAACAAATTGTACATGCATTCGTTCATGTAGTTTTTTTTTTTCTTTTCAAGACTTGCATCACTGTGCATTCTATATAGTTCTTTATATTTATTATATTTATGAAGACACTTTCTTTATATTATCAATTTAAACTGCTAGCTAGAGCAGACAGTATATGACAATCAACAGAGTTCGGGCAATTATTATTTACATCACTATTAATTAATTATATATGTATGATGAACTAATTTCTTGAACTGAACATCAATTTCTCAAATGTAGTAAATACAACTTTTACAAATTATACATGTACATTTCATGATACTATATGTTTTTAATGCATGCATGCTTAAATGATCCCCATGCCATATATAATGAAAAAACATGCTTCAAATTAAAATTAATGAACACCATGCATAAAATAAAACCAAAATAATGAATGCCTTATTTGGAAGGAAGGTGATGGATTTTTCATTTTCATTATTTTTTGGACTGTACTTTCAAACTGATGTTGTGTTCTTTCAAACTGTTGTGCAGCAAATTGACAAAATTCAAATTTTTTGCAAAGTGAGAATTTTTTTTTGGATTGAGACTTACAGATGCCATGGCTACTGAGAAGCCTGCTTGACAAAAGCCCGATTTATGGTACTGGTCCACGGTATCTCTTAGTAAATCAACATCTAAAAGGAACCAGCACACAGATTACCAACAGCAATCAACACATCAACCCCATAACGTGTCAACAGCAATCAACCCCTGTATCATTCAATGGAAGAACCCTCATAATATCAATATTGCAAACAATGCACAAATTCTTCTCAAAAATATTCACACAAGTTAGAAAAGCTTTTTTTGAAAATTTAAGAGAGAAAAGTTGTACAGTAAAGAATCATGAGAAAAGAGGTTTCTTACAATGTGTTCTTTTCAAGCTGATCGATGTCTACATGTATTTAAAAGGCTATCTATCTCACATTAAATTTTGCAGACATTTTTTTTTCCTGAAAATTATTGAAAAATGTGTTCATGTTTTAACAATTAATGCTCAACTGATGAAAATTGAACTAAAAATTTCACAAGTCTGTTCTTCTCCCCTCCCAAACCACCTGACCCCCCTAAGAGCCTGGTACAAATTTTTAGGTAATTCAAATTGCAGAAATTAACATTTCAATCGTTGACAACCTAGCTTGGCTTTATGATTCAATGTGACTCCCAAGCAAAATATATAATTGGGGATAAATCATCATCATCCTCAATTTTTATCATTATAGGCCCACGTACAGTATTAGCTTAATATATAGAGTAAATATTGCAGAATTCTATTTTCACTAAAATGCTGTAAAAAAAGTTATGTAGTAATGTTCGTTTGTACAAATAAAGCATAAATGATGTCGAGATAGTTCGTGGATTATATTCATTGAAAACACCCACCTTTACATCATACAATAGCTTACCCCCTATCCCCCACCCCCACCCCAATTTGTAAATAATGTTACAATTTTAAAATTTTCTGTTTCATATTTCATTTCACATAATTTATTTTTAATAAACTTAATGGCCCTCATGCAAACACAAAAAATCTTGTATATTTATATTGTTTGATTTACATCTCTTTTCATAATAAGAATATAATCCACAGACTTTTCTCTGTCATCCAAGGATATAGGACCCAACCTTATAAATATATTTATACACCAGCTGTCAAAAGTTTTTATATACCCACACATATTGTATAATATGCATCACTAAATAAAACATATACATGTAGATATATAATTACATAGAGTCAATATACTTTGTATAAAGAGATAATTAATGATTTAAACATATTTTAAAAAATATTATTATCACAAAGTTAGATAGATATCACATTTAGTATTAAGCACAAAAATGAAAAATCACTCAAGAAATATTTTGAGAAGGCATACATCAGTTGTTGATTTCAGAGGCAAAAACCAACATGATTTCTGCAAATGTATTCATCATTCTGTTTAACCATGACCACAATTTAATGCTACAAGTAAGAAATCTGCCAGATTCACTGGAAAGCTTAAGTATATTGCATTGAAAGCCATTTTTGTAAGATGAATTGAAATGCTCTAGCCTCTGTAATTTTTAAAGAAGTATAGACCTATACAGAAAAAATGTTGGTTTACGCTTCTAAGAATAAACTTTCTGTTATCAGAGATGCATTCACCATTATGCATCATTGCACTGCAATTCAAACTTAAATTATTTACCAGGAGCTTGAAACTTGTCTACAAAATCATGTTGGTGAACTAGATATTTACACTACATGATGGATACTAGAATTAAATTGGACCTAAACTGGTTGATGGAAATATCTGGAATTTCACATTCACATCATATTATTATGTTACACATTTACAATAGTGAGAGAGTTTAGCATTAATTTTTTTCTTTCCTTAGTTAAAAAAAAACCCAGTAAATATCAACATAAAACAAAAATCAAAGTAAAATTAAGGGAGGTTAAACAAGAAATCTGTGAGCCAATGCTCACTAGTAATACCCCCGCTCTGATGTGAATAAACACTACCATGATATATATACAAGCTCAATTACAGGCAAATGCACAGAAAAATATGAAGTTGACATCAGATTAACATCAAAATGAATCCCACTATATAACATGTCTCAACAAAGAGGTACTAAAATTTCAAGCATCTGCGATGAGTAGTTGCTGAGAAAACTGAGACGAAAATTTGTTATGTATGAAATGGACAGACACACAGACAAACAGGAAGTTGTTTGATTTGAACAAAAATGTATCCCAACGTATGGCATGACTCAGAGAAGATTGTATTAAAATTTCAAGCCTCTGTGATGAGAAGTTGCAGTGAAAATTGCGACGAAAATTTGTTATGTATGAAGCGAACAGACAGACAGACAAACAGGAAGTTGACATCCTATTTGAACAAAAATGTATCCCAACATATGGCATGACTCAGAGAAAATTGTATTAAATTTCAAGCATCTGTGATGAGTAGTTGCTGAGAAAACTGCGACGAAAATTTGTTATGTATGAAACGAACAGATGCACAGACAAACAGGAAGTTGACATCAGATTTGAACAAAAATTTATCCCAATGTATGGCATGACTCAGAGAAAATTGTATTAAAATTTCAAGCTTCTGCGATGAGTAGTTGCTGAGAAAACTGCGACGAAAATTTGTTATGTATGAAACGGACAGACGCACAGACAAACAGGAAGTTGACATCAGAATTGAACAAAAATGTATCCCAACATATGGCATGCCTCAGAGAAGATTGTGTTAAAATTTCAAGCTTCTGCGATGAGTAGTTGCTGAGAAAACTGCGACGAAAATTTGTTACGGACGGACAGACAGACAGACACACAAGGGTAAAACAGTATACCCCCCTCTCCTTCAGAGCGGGGGTATAATTACCTTTAAGACTATAGTACTGTAGCACTTGTTTTATGCCTTAATCATTAGTAATGGCAGTTTCCCATTAAATTATCATTAGTTTCTGGCATGTTTAAAGATTTTGTTTGAAATATATGAAATCAATATGATAATACTGTAAGTAATGGTATTTTAGTACAGGTGTACTTAATGTTGTTTATTTGTTTGTTTGTTTGTTTGTTCGTTTGTTTATCCCCTTACTTCCTCTACAGGGGGAATACTCCTCAAAAGTGGTGCTGCCTGACCGGGCGAGATAACATGTCCCCACCGGCTCTCGTTTGTTGAACTGGGTCGACAGGTAGACGTACCGCGGGGCACAAGCCTGAAAGTCAAACCAGAAACTGTTCAGTAAATGTTATAACGGGAGGGGTTATTGGCAAAGACTTTTCTGAAATCATGTACATATATTTATTCATCAATGGTGCAAGTAACAACTTATTAACAATGCAATATAAAAATCTTAATGCAAGCTTAGTTTAAATCATTTTATTTGTAATTGAGTCTTGAAGGGAAAATTTCTGCTTTCTCTAAATTTTTTTTCTGCATTTGAAAAGTTTGCTCTCCTTTAATGACCTTTATATAAATTGACTTCTTTTATGAATGATGATGCAAATTATAATTACAGTCAATTCTCGAATTATCGCCATTCGATTCATCGCCATTTTCGCAATACCGCCATGATTTCCCAAGAACGTTTTTCCTGCTATATAAAATTCTCTTTATAACGCCAAATTCGCATACCGCCATCCACCACCCTGTTTTCACAACAAACGTCCATTTTTAAGTGTCAATTATCTCGATATACCGCCACAGGTGCATGTGGTCAGTGAAGCGCGGCTAATTGGTTGACGCTATCCCTGTTGTAAAGCATGCAAAGGCAGACAAGGTACATGCAATTAAGTAATTAAACGAGCATTAAATAAACAATAATTTTAACATGAACTGTTATAATAATTTTGTTTTATGTTTAATAAAAATATTTATTCACGGCTTCGCCACGAAAGCGGTCATTGTTAAACTTAGTACGCCGATAACGATTATCATAGTATTTTGATGATCTCTGCTTTTAACAATGTAAGGTTTGCTGAAAAAATAATAAAACGGCATAAATTGTGAACGTTTCATTATCAATAATGCCATAATCAATGAATTTATTCAAGAATGCATTTTACGTACTATCGGCAATATATCACGACGGTCCACCCAGCATATTTTTTTTTCAATATCAGACATGCAGATTTACATGCATACACATTTACTTGCCTTTCTTTCATAACTGCACATTTTGTTTTAGCGACATTGTTAATTAAAAAAAATTACTTGAAGTATTTTCAATCAGAAAAATGTTTTTATATACATGTATATGTTATATTAAAAATAGAATCACTAAATGGTATTTCTAAGAACAGTAACTCTACTTCTTGTTTTCTAAAAGATGGGAAATTCAATTCATCGCCAAATTCGTTATACCGCCATGATTTCTAAATTACAAAAGGTGGCGGTTTATCGAGAATTAACTGTATATTATTGTAATAAAACAAATGAGTCTTTAATTCTTGAAAGCAGATTGAGGAATAATGTATCTATAATTTGCAGAATGGATGATTAGTCATGAGAACTCTTGCTTCTACATGTAACAAACATAGTACAGATGTAGTTTTCCAGAACACTTAACATGCATTCTCTGTAAGCACCAAAAAATCTTGGAAACGACATATCTCCGATTTTGATGAAATTTGCACCACAGGTGCACCTTGGTACAAAACCAGCAAATATGGTGTAAGAAGTTTCCCACGTGCACCCGGTTGCCATGGAGACGGGTCCATTGAATTTGGCCATTTTCGGCCTTTTTTGACCAAACAAAAACATGAAAATTGAGGAAATATGAATGCATTTTTATCTTTATGTAGTGAACTCAAATATAAATCTTTGTATCATAAGAAAACATCAACTGTTAAAGAATACAGGGCATATAACCAATTATTCCAGAATTGACCCCATTCTTAGAAAACGGTTCTGCAAAATAGCATAGTTTCTCAAAATGTAAAAAATGGAAAATTTGGCATTTTTTGAGAAATTTAAGGTTAAATAAAAAAAATTGTCTACGGAAATTTTTCAAATCCTATGCGTGTCATCAAACGTCAGTATTAGTAGTGTACCCTCATGAAAAATTGGAGTGGGATCTCAATGCTATTTTTAGTAACATGTATCTAAAAATAGACATATTTCAGAAAAATCCAAAAAATGACATTTGGGCAGAGTTTAAGCTGCCATTGCTAGGTAATTATGAAATATATTGTAAAAGTCAATACGCTAATGTCAGAGACTGGACACCAATAACTACCATGCATATTATTTTCAGGGATTTCAGTTTTCTATTTATAGCTTCAAATGCCTAAATATAGACATGTCTCATAAAATGATGAAAAATGTCAATTTTCCATCATTTTGAAGCTCCACTAAATCATAAATAATAAAAATATGGATCTCTCCAATATTTCATCAATAAGAACAAGGAATAGTATAATATCTCACAAATTATTGAGGACAGGCTCTCATCTCTATAACTAGTACAAATGTTTAAAAATAGACACATATGAAATTAACGGTTTAATGTTGATTTTCCACCAATTTTCAAATTAGAGATGGGAAAATTACCGAATTACTGTCATTAAATGTAACTGATATTATGTGACTGACAAGAACAAAAGAACATTCAATGGAATGCAGCATGATAAGCAGAGGTTTCCATTTCTATTTATAGTAACACATGTTTAAAAATAGACGTTATGCGAAGTATCGGGAAAATGTCAATTTTTTGTACTTTTTTCTAAAATTTTGGATGAATAATTGCTGACTATCTGTTTTTAACTGCTATTGGCATATGGTGACCAACAAGTAAAAGAAAGTCTTATATCAAATACAAAATGAGAAGCAGAGGTTTCCATTTCTATTTATAGTTACACATGTTTAAAAAAAGACGCACTGCAAAATATCGTTTTTTGTACTTTTTTCTCACATTTTGGATGAACAATTGCAGACTATGTTTTTAACTGCTATTGGAATATGGTGACCAACAAGTAAAAGAAAGTATATACGAAATACAGAATGAGAAGCAGAGGTTTCCATTTCTATTTATAGTAACACATGTATGAAAATAGACATGCTGCAAATTCTCGAGAAAATGTAGACTTTCGCACTTTTTTCCTAACATCAGGGATGGTCAAAGTGCAGACAAACGGCTTTTATTTGTTATTGACAGAATATGACTAATGAGTATGAAAAAGCTTTAGCTAAAGTGTATAAGAAAAATGTTTAAGGGTATTTTCACTTTTCTGCCTATAATAACACATATTTATAAATAATCAGGAAAATAAAGAATCGTTCGTTTGTCTCAAATGAGGGATATGAAATTTGCGGTCAAACTTTCATTAGTTGTAACTGACATGGCTAATTGTATTCGGCGCGTCAACGCTTCCACCTCATTCCAATACATGTATCACAAAAGTATGTTCTCCCTGCATTAAAACACTCTAATGACAGCGATTTTCTTAATGAATTAAGCATTATCGTTTATATTCAGGTCGACAGCCCGAGCCCGATTGAATTTTTTTTGTAAGGTGCATCCAGAAAATTTCCCTAGGAGGCGGTGGCTCAAATCACTATGTCAGTTTAAACTAGAACTGTCCAAACGGGACTAAATACCCCCGCTGGGTTTTTCAGAGGTGTTAAATCATGAATATTTAATGAATCTAAGAGAAAAGTGAAATGCCAAAACATTTTTAATGCAAATGTAATTTTTCATAATATTTCATAAATGAAACGAAGGCTCATCCTTATAAAAAAAAAACCCAGACTAAATATACGGATCAGACACGAGTTATGAACTTTTTCTGTCAGTGACCTTGGCCTTGCATTAATGACCTTGGATCAAAGTCATGACAAAAAATCAGATAATAAGCAAGGTTTGTGTGAAGTAGTAGATTGAGGTTTAGCCATAAAAAAGATATGGACTAGACACAAATAATAAAAATTTTTCTTTAAGTGGCTTTGAACTTCCCCAAATGATTTTGCGTCAAGGTCATGACACACTCTTAGGTCATGAGCAATCTTTGTGTGAAATAAGAACCTACCAAGTTCATCCACAAGAAAGATATGGAGCGGACACGAATTATGAAATTTTTTTCAGTGACCTTGAACTTCCCAAAATGATCTTGCTTCAAGGTCATGACACACCCTTAAGTCATGGGCAGTCTTTGTGTGAAATGAGAACATACCAAGTTTATCCATAAGAAAGATCTGGACTGGACACGAATTATGAAATTTTTTTAGTGACCTTGAACTTCCCTAAAGGACCTTGGCTCAAGGTCATGACACAATCTTAGGTCATGGGCAATATTTGTGTGAAATAAGAACATACCAACTTAATTCATAAAAAAGATATGGACCGGACACAAATTATGAAATATTTCTTCCAGTGACCTTGAACTTCCACAAATGTCCTTGGCCTAAGGTCATGACACACTCTTATTGCATGGGCAGTCTTTGTGTGAAATGAGAACCTACCAAGTTTATCCATAAGAAAGCTATGGACTGGACACGAATTACGGAACTTTTTTCAGTGACCTTGAACTTCCCTGAATGACCTTGGGTCAAGGTTATGACACAATCTTAGGTCATGAGAAATCTTTGTGTGAAATAAGAAAATGCCAAGTTTATCCGTAAGAAAGATGTGGACTGAATACCAATTAAATTTTTTTTCAGTGACCTTGAACTTCCCTGAATGACCTTGGGTCAAGGTCATGACACACCCTAAGGTCATGGGCAATCTTTGTGTGGAGTAGTAGATTCTAATTTTCCTCCTTAAGGAAGATATGGACCGGACACTTTGGCACAGACAGATGGACAGACGGACAAGCTGATTCCTATATACCCCCAAACTTCGATTTTTTTTGGGGGGGGAGGGGGGGGTAATAATAGAGTTGAATATTCCAGGGATCCAGATTCCCTTCGATCCATGCATGCCTTACCAGAAATTGTTCAAAAGTAATCCGAAATTTGCCCAAATGTTTTGAGTTGGCTTACTTTCGATTTCTCTCTCTCTATATACATGCATATTTCTCTAGACTTTAACTTAAGCATTTAAAAATATTCGTTGTTTTGGTTTTTATAAAATTATTTTACGTATAAACATACATGTAGTTGTTGGAACTGGGGGGGGGGGGGGGGTTGGGTTGGGTTTCAAAGATAGACATCATTTAGGTAATAAACACTTGGGAGTAGATTTACCCCCCCCCCCCCTTTTAAGCAGGCATGTTGCAG